GACCGATGGAGGGATGCGATCGATGGAGCCTGGCGGAGTTCACAGGGGAGGGTGGAAGTGGAAGTCGTTCAGGAACGAAGCACCAGGAGAATACTGTCCGATGGGCCCTGCAGGGTGGCGTCAGGCATCGACTAGTCTGTCAGTACAACGACACAAAAGCACAATTGTCAGAACTGTCAATATCTAATCTATTCTACAGACTACAGACTGATTCTCAGTCAAGGGAGAGACCGAGGATGAGGATCATCGGCGGCGGGTGGAGACGCTGCTTAGTATTGCTGCGCTCCCTGTCGTCCGTCCAGCAATTCCGGTCGGGCTAGTCGAAGAGGCCACAGGCCCAGGGGGATCCAGCCAGGGTCCTCACTTCGGTTCCAGCCGGTCAGTCAGGTACTAACTATCTCTCTAGTTCGATGTAAATTGGTAAGTAGTAAGAAACTATCCAGATCGCGGATCAGAAAACAATACTCCTCATATCATGAGACCATGACGGTTGAAAGGGGACAGACAGTCCATCAGTCAGATCGTCAGTCAGTTCTGCCCTAACCCGATTATCTCGGTCTGATGTCCGTCTCAGTCTTGTCTTCTGTCTACAATCAACATCAAGGCAGAAGAAGAAATATCGCCCACGACAAAGTACTACTTACTCTTCCATCACTCTGCAGACCATGCACCTCACTACTAGTAGTACTTACTGATCCATGTGCACAGTAAACACATACATACATCCTTTCCAATGCAGCCGGACCATCTGCATTATCCTCCGCCGACTTTAAGCTTGTTTGGTTGGGTTTCTTTTTCCACTCCACAAATTTGTGGAGTCGCTGCATTGTGACTGGTGAGGCTTATGCAATTGCACCACCACCACCACCACTGACTGCAAAAATAGAATTGAGCATAATTACCATCCACGATGCAGTATATCTATCTAGAAAGAATCTAGATAGACAGAGTACATACGTACTGTTTAGAAGCAGTGGAAGGAACGTACTAGAATTGAATTAAATTAAATATAGACATCCCAATTAACGAAACACCCTAATGACTGATGGGGTACCTTAAATGAAGAACTCCCCTCCCACTTTTTGGGAAATCCAACCTTGGCTGGTGCCGTGGTTCTTTCTGAATCTTCAGGATGGAACGACATCTACATGCAGGATAACAGGAAGGCTGCAGCTGGTTGGCTTCAAATGGTAATTTGGCTTGTTTAAAAAAAAAAAAGAAAGAAAGAAAGAAAGAAAAAAGGGGAAAGAAAAAAAAATCTTTGTATAAAAGAGAGACCTCAGAACCCCTCTAGACTCCCGAAAGGGAGACCCCCCTACAATTTCCTATATACCCACACCTAACAAATCTCCCCCTTCCCCCAACTCACCCTCACCATCGCCACCGCAGCCAAAAAATACACCCCGCCCGCCAGCAGAAACGGCAACCCGAACCACTCCGGCCCCCAATGCAGCCCCAAGCGAAACGCATACGCCAACAGCGGGCCAGAGACCACCGTGCCCAGGGACGTAACCGCCGCAGCAGACGAATACAGCGTGCCCACGCGGTCCGGCCGAACCAGCGACGTGACGAAACTGCGGCAGGACACCGCGAAGGCCGCGCCCAGCGAGAGGACCACAATGCCCAGGATCACAATCGCTCGGGAGGAGGCCGTGGCGATGATGATGAAGCCGAGCGCGGCGGTGAAGCTGCTGATCTGTGCGAGGCGCAGGTCTTTGAGCTTGCCTGGGAGGTGGAAATGCCGGGTGAGGAGGAAGGAGAGGGCGGGCGTGAGGAGGAGGAAGTTTGCTAGTGTGATTGTGCCGCGGAGGGAGATGAGGAGGCTGGACTGCGTGGGTGGGGATGGTTGTGAGTGCTTCGTTCAGTTGTTTGGTAGTTGGCGGGGGGAGGGGATAGAGGGATAGAGGGATAGTGAGGACGGAAGGGGCTTGCTTACATTGGCGATACTCCACTCGAACCGTTTCGACGTATACTGCAGCAAAAGACTCGTCGACTGTCTGCTGATGGACGTGGCGAACATCGCAAACAGACACACCGTGACGGCTGGTTTGCCCATGATGAACCGGATCGAGTCGCGGAGGGCCTGCAGTTTGCCCTTGATATACTGCCTTACACTCACGGAGCCCTTTCCAGCCGGGTCCGGCCGTGTCTCTTCCTCGTCGGGCGAGGAAGTCTTAGATTTGATGTCAGTTAGGCTCTCCGGTATGAGAAACGCACTCAATGATCCGAGCGTGGAAATCCCTAGCCCTAGCATGAATGGCATCCACGGATCACGAGTCATGAGGTATGCGCTGACTGGGGTAGCCAGGACTTCCGACAGGATCACCGCACTGGATAGGCGGAATAAGGCCGTGGCTCTAGACACGAGTAAGCAAATGGACAGTTCATCATGGTCATCCAGACAAGGGCTATGTGTGCATGCATACATCTCATCCTCGGGAAATCGGTCCGCAATCATGACCATGGCGACGGATGAGAGGGTGAGGTCTCCGCCGCCGATAATCCTCCATATTCCCGACAGCCAGACCAGTCGCAGTGGCAAGACGGTGGGATACATGCCTGGTATCGTGTGCATCAGTCGAAACCCGAAAGGCAATCCACAGGCACAAGACAGAACCAAAGCACCACTTACACACCACGCGCACCCAGATCTCCCCGAGCAGAACCCCCAGAATCCCCAAAAGAAGAACGGGTCTGCGTCCCCAGCGATCCGCCAACACGCCATATGGAACGGCCAGCAGAATGCCTACATCATGTAAGATATTCTCATCAGCCTGGACGAAGAGCATGCTGGGATTGTTGGTCACCATACCCGGCAAAAACTCCGACGTATCCTTCCACCCATTCACGAGAGCCAATTCACTCTGCACCGGCTCAGACTTACAGATACCCTCCGGTGGAATCATGCCCGCCGGGTTCCCGAGACCAGCCAGGTAATTCTGACAGACGATGTTCTCGAAGATCTTCGTTTGGGGCGCGGCAGTCAGATAGAATCCAATATCCAGGGCCAGGGTGAGCGTCGACGCTGCAATCATCACGGTCAGTTTCTGCGATCTCGACGACGATGGCTTTAGGACTTGGGTGGTCCCCAATAACGGCGCGTTTTCATCATCGCCCTCATCCTCATAATCATCACCATGGATATGTATCGTGTCTGCTGTGGTTGCCATTGGATCTGGTCTAGGATCGTTGATAGGGGTGAATGGAACGCCAACGCCAATAGACAAAATTGGATTAAGGCGGGAAACGTCAGACAGAGGGACCAAGTGCAGATAGACCCATTTATCATCACTCCCCAAGGAAAATTTCGGGGCCTAGACTAGACGAGGGAACCGCTAACGGGGTCTTTGGGTCTCAATCCCTGGACGAACTACTGCTGCTACTCGGCGCTAGCGACCAAATATCGCACTGGCGTCTCTATACCCCTCCCCCCGAGCCCTGAAGTGAGATAAGAAGATACAGAGACGGTCTGTTATAGGCTTAACCGTTTAGCAAAAAAAAAAAGAAAAGAAAAGAACGACCAAAATATCAAATAGGATATTCGAGGGTCCGTGGAGATCGATCTGTGGACCAATCGGCTTAACATGTCATCTCATCTGCATGGATGGGGACGACGTATCATCTAGACTAACTATCTGTTATTGGAGAGCCTAGGGCTGAGTTGTCTCGGGACTAATCCTACACGCGGATTTATGGAGAGCTATGCTGGAGGCACCGTGGGTCAGTATTGAACCTGGGCCGTGTAATCGGTATATTAATCAAAATATGAGTATCAGTATCTAACTATATCACACATGTACAAAATCATTAGGACTCCCTCTCGCGTCGCGTCGTATCTCCTTCGCACGACCGCGCATCCACCCCATCCCATAACGATTTATTCTATTCTATTGGGCAGCCTTGTCCATCTTATCCACATCATCCGCCGAACCATTAACCGCTTCCGCAACAGCAGCGCCAAACGCACTAGCCCTGGGCCCAAACTCAACTCCACTGAGAATAACCCCGCTAAGGAACTCCAGTCCCGCAACAAACGCGCACAGGAGGCTGGCGATGAAGAAGTGGCTGATGGTCGTGCCGATGTCCAGCCAGGAGCCTTCGTCGCGGACCATGTAGAAGAAGTTCATGGTCATGATGTCGGAGATGGCCATCACGACCATGAAGAGGGCGCTCGGCGCGACTTCGAGTTTGCGGTTCAGGATGCCCAGGTTGCCGCTGATGATGGCGAAGGGGATGAGGATTTTCAGTATCAGGAGTGCGCCCTGGGCGAAGGGGTTGAAGACGGGGATGAGGCGGACGACACTCTCTAGTGAGAATGAGGAGACGGATGCGATGTTACCCGTGCTGAAGAAGGCGGATTGCAGGAGGAAGAAGAAGAATAGGGCGACACGGGTGTCGGAGATGCTGAGGGTGCGGTATTGGTATGCGTGACCCTCGACGATGGCCGTGGCATTCGCGCGAGGCTTCTCTGGAGTGGTGGTGGAGTTGGTGGGCGCGGGTGTGTTGTAGACGTAGATGGCATGCTCGAGCCGGACCCAGGTGACTAGGGTGATGCAGAAGACGAAGTAGAAGAGGCCTTCGTAGGAAATGGTGAGGATGACGAATGTCGGGGAGAAGGTGAGGAAGAGGACCACCAAGCGGTGCAGGTAGTGGCTGTTTGGATACAGTCGGTGGAGGAATGGAAGGAGAAGTGACACAACTGCACGTGGATTAGATTTGTTCAACTGGCGCTGGAGTCAGGCTTGGTGCTTACCCAAGACGAACCAACCAACCACTTGGTTGCCAAATGGAAGTCCTTGTTTGGACTGCAGGGCTGCTGTGCTGGATCTCGTGACTATCAGGGCAAGGATAACCATGCCCAGCTGCTCCAGTTAGTGTCTTCCTGTGCCTGTACTCGGGTCGGGATGATCATACCTGCGCGCCGATGATCGTGCGTGAGCCGCAGCGGGAAATGGCAATGGGCGACTCGTCCGAGGACTTCTTCTGTCCCAAAACAAAGTCCTCAAACAGTAGGTACAATAGCCCAGTGAGGAACATCAACAGGGCACCGCATGTTCTACGGACTGTTAGTTTCAGTCACCCATAGCGCGGGATTCACATACATAAGACCAATGTCTTCGACCTTGTTGGCAGGGAGCAAAGTGAAAATACTCATCAAGAGACAGCCAACGGCCCACGAAACGAGAAGACCGCCATGCTTTTTTACAAACCCGATTCCGTGTAGTAGAGGCCAAAAAGCACCCAAGATGAAGCAAACGGTAAAGATCTCCCGGCGGAAGTATGATTGAACCTGGCAACGTTAGCAGGCTCTCACCCTCAAGGACATACAACGTACCAGGGCCTCCAGAATGCCCACAAAAACCAGCAGCTGAATTGCAAACACGACATAGCCACTTGGGGATTGGACGTGACTCATCAGAATCGCGCGGCCAGCAAGCAAAGCCTTGCGCCGGGCGAACACCTCTTCCCAGAAAAAGACCGGGAAGACACCGTAGAAATAGTACCGCCATGAGGACTGCTGGTAACAAAAGACCGAGAAAAGTCCCACAAGAAGAGACGAGAAAAACATCGTGCTTAATACTGAACGGTTCGACTCGGAAGTGCCGTGAAGAACATGCAGGTCAATAACGGTGGTCAGAGCATAGGCAATCCAGCCCAGGTACCCAAGCGTGACAATCGTCCTTAAAAAGAGCCAGTCATATGTTTGCAGATAACGCAGGCCTTGCAAGGCCGTGACGAGGAGAGCGGAAGACATCTCAATTGATTCCTCGTAGGAGCCTCTTGCGATAGTAGCCTTGATCTCTTCCAGGTGTTCATCCACCGAGTTCTGGCCATGATCAGCCAGAGGCTCAAAAGGCTTGTATCGAAGCAGGTCGGCCTTTTTCTGCTCCTCCTTCACCCGGTACATTTCCAAAACCGCCTGTGTGTTCGCGAGCGCGGCGAGAGCCTTGTCCTTGGGACTGGCATCCAAGTAGTCCAAAGGTAGTCTACCCACGGAGTTGGTGGGAAAGTCCAGCCCAGTCAAATATGCCATGAGAGCTGCGACATCCGCCTGCTCGACATCGTTGCGCTGGATGCCGTCGAAGCCCCAATCAGACGAAACACCATCCTCATGCCCCGAGAGCGTCCCTTCCATGGAGTAGCGAGGGCCAGCCACGCCGGAACCCCACACCACCAAGGGTGTCCTGGTGTTGTCAGGATGACCATCTCCGTGACTGCCCCAGTCGCTCATTCCGTGGTCGGCCGTGAAAACGAAAGCTGTCTCATCGTCCCCGTAGAACTCCTCCACCAGCTTGGTGATTTCCTGCACCCCCTTGTCCACCAGCTTGATGTTCCTGAGGTATTCCTTCGAGTACGGGCGGAAGTAGTGACCGGTCGTGTCCAGGCCGAGGAGGTGCAGGAAGAAAACCAACTTGTCCTCCCGCAGCTTCGCATCCAACACGGGATCGGTGCGAGCGGACTCAAAAAGCGCCTTCACCTTATCAAAGACCCAGATGTCAAGCCCCGTTGCATCGGTAGTGAAGTCCTCCAGCTCTTCCCCGTACGACTCCGCATCCACCCTCCCAGGAACCGCGCCCTCCTGAAACATGGGAAGAATATCGCGACTTCCCCAGCTCCACGTATGGCGACTCCGGTTGAACACGCTGTCGAAGTTCACCGGGTTCAGCTTCCACCCCGTTGTGACCGCCGACACATCCTCGTATAACCCCGCAATAAGCGCAACGTGGCCCGGCCGCGATTCTGTGGGAACTCGGGTGTGGGAGATTCCGAAGGTGCCGTGGGACAGGACGCGGGATCGAATATACGGCGCAAGGTAGACGGGCTCGCTGTCCTCGCCCTCCGCATCGTCGGGGTCGGGTAATGCCTGGAAGGCTTTATCGGCGCGCAGGCCATCGGCGACGAACAGGACGAGACGTTTGGCGGGGGCAGCGGCATTGGGCCCTCGTTCGACACGGAACGATCGCATGCCACTGACAATGGGACTGACGAAGTAAATGTCGAAGATCGAGTAGACATAGATCAGGTGGAAGACCAGCGCGAGGGTGAGAAACCCTACGCGGCCGAGACGCGCCATGATTTCCGCACCAGGGGATCGGCTCAGAAGGGATTAAGGAGAGGAATTGGGTTCGGAGAAAGTGTGCGAACCATTAGAAGGAGGAAATAGGTCGTGAAAGAAGAAAGAACGGCGAGAGAGGGGGGGGGGTGAGGCGAAAGCAACAGCCAGCGTCCTCCGTCGAGCTCAGGGAGAGCACTTTTCCGCGGTGCCTGGACGAGATGGGGGAGGACTCAGGCATCCGGGGGAAGACCCGCAGCCAATCGGGGGCGCCTGACTCGACACGGCCGGCGGTACGGCCGCCCGCAGGGTCCCCGGGCGCAGCACCCTGGGCTTGGACCAGTACATCCACTCAGGTACCCTGCCATACTGCGGTGGTTGGTCGGTACTTCGATGGAGGTATCTACTCCGTACCTTTTCCTCCTCCCTCCTCCCTACTTATGCCTGCTACCAGACCCTCATCTCCTACGATCCTGTCAGTGAAGATCTAAATCCCAAGCCGCTCCAGTGACACCTCAAGCCACCCTAACTATCCAGCATCTCAGTACTCCGTACCAACCATACCATCAAATGATCAACCAGGTAACTATAGCCTAACATAAGCAACACTCACAACCACTCTAAAAATAACCCGCCCGCCAATTAATCGATGGCTGTACGACTAGATACGGACTACGGAGAGGAGAACGGAGTGCTCCGTCGAACTCCACTACTCAGTAGCTATACTAGGGGGCTAGGCCCAGCCCTCTCGTCTTAGAGGCTTAGTGTCTCCGGCTGGCTGATGGGGACAATGCAACCCTTTGCTATCAGGAGTCACCCGGTGCAGTATCATTCCTCCGTGCTAGTCTCTATCTCGATATCTGCTGTCGAATTGCAGTTGCCATAACTAATCGACGAAGATTCGCAATCGCATGACTCAGCGGGATCACATGGCAGAGCACAGACAGCCCGCAGCACGTGATTCGCGATCTGGCCACCTGCAGTCGACTAAGAGTAGCTCTGTGGTGATAGAAGGGCAATCCTCCGACCGTAAGCCGACGCAGTCTACTCCGTAGCCCTCAAGTAGGTACCTACTCCTACTGTGCAGGAATTGGGTGCTGGAGGAATCCTCGTAATGCAGAACAGTATTGTAATTAATCCGTGTACGTGGCCAATGCCCAAAACGTGCCGATCGCCGGGGGGGCTGTACGGTACATTTACCACGCCCATAATGTACTGTACGTACCGGTACGCCACCGGGCGACGTCAAGGGTCAAGCACTCCGTACAGCCAGCGAGAGAGGAATCCGGACCAGCCCAGCTTCAGCGAGGAAGTCCTCTTGCCGATCCAACATCTCTCCCGAAGTCTCCTCAATCTCTGCTGTCCCCCCCCGCTGCTTTCACCGCGACCCTCCAGATAATTCCCCCCGGTCGCTTTCCTCCTCCTCCTCCTCCTCCTCCTTCAGCCCTGAGACAGCCATCAGCCACCCCGCCCTGCCGACGTTTGATCTGCCGACTGAGTCGTCATCACAAGGAGACTAACCTCCCAAGTCCAGTCCATACTTACTCGCCCATCCCGCGCCTCCCCCCCCCAACCTCCCACGCCCGCCTCAACTCCTATCGCCTCTGTTCTGCCTGGCCTCGGCATCGAGCGATTTAGCCTGTCCTCCGTTTCACCTCGTCGAATCGAAGCCACCCCCTCCCCGAAACGTCGTTCGCCGTTAGATCCCGTGCCACTCCGAGCTTCAGGACACGGATGCGATAACGACCAGTCCGGATGACGAATGGTCTGTCGTAGAGACCTCCGATGGCAATTTGTGCCTGGGCGATCTCACACGCAACACTGAGCTCCTCCCGGAGACCTACGACCCCGCCCCTCCTCAAATCTACCCTCCATCCTTGTCGCCAGGGATGAGTTCCTACGGCGGCTTTGCCGACGTCTTTAGCCTTGGGACCGCCAGCACAACCAACACCAGCCGGAGATCTACCTCCACCGTCCGATCGCGCACCCGCCGCCTGATCTCGTTCAGCGAGGACGATGTCGGCGAGCATGGGAGACAAATGCAGTCCGCCGGGCTGTCCTCGATGCTATCCCCAGAGGCCTCCGCGGTTCGCTCCCGCGGAGCCACGCCTTCCCCTAACCCGTCCCGCGGAGTGTCCCCCATACCAATGAGACATCCCTCGCGAGCAACCGAGGCGGCCAGCCGCAGCCGGGGCAATAGTTCATTAGGTGGGTTCCACGAGGGAAAGAGCGCACCGAACTTCGCTGAATCGTCGCGAGCGGCCGTAGACTTCTTGGATTCCTCGTGGTCCTCGCTCCAGAGTCTGGCTTCGTCGGTTTTAGGGAGCGATATCGCACGCCCGGCCCCCAATGGGACCGCGAAGACGCATGTCCGGAAACCATCGCGTTCGGACCCCTACATGAGACCCCCCGCGCGGGCAACATCTGCAACGTGGGGCCCCTCGGGCGCGGCCACAACGGAGATTGGCAGCGGGACCAAGGAAGAAAGACAGGCGTTGGTGCAGGCAAAGAAAAGAGAAGCGTTATTGCTGGCGGACACGGGTCCGGCTTGGGGGCCCAACCCCCGGCATAAGCGGCGGGATTCCAGCGACCACCCGGGTCATTCGAACGTTGACCCCGAGCACGACGAGGAAGCTCTGGCATACATCCATCATGTGCAAGCAACGGACACGATTACGGGTGTTACCATACGATATGGCTGCCAGCCGGCGGTGTTCCGGAAGGCCAACGGATTTTGGCCTAGCGATAGCATCCAGGGCCGGAAGACCGTCCTTCTGCCGGTGGACTCTTGTTCGGTCAAAGGACGGCCCATTCGGCCTAAAATAGAAGAGGAGGACTTTTTGGGGGATGGGAGCGAGTCTCTAGAAGACATGAACGGAAGCTCCATCGCCCCCACATTATCACCCGTCAAGGCAATGTCTGCAGATGCGTCCGAGACGGAAGGTGACCGCGTCTGGACGCACGGGTCATGGGTGCAGATTGAGGGATTCCCCGCCCCGGTGGAAATCGGCCGCGTCCCTCGAAGAGCATTGGGCTTCTTTCCCAGGACCCGGCGGAAATCCGTATCGTACACCGACTCGGCGCCTTCCCCGGCATCCGGCCGGGGAGGGTCGTTCAGCATCTCCTCATCGTCTTCGCCCGTTGAACCGCCCTCCGTCCAGCCTGCTATATTCCCCTGGACTCGGCGGCCGCATGCAGACTCGTCCGCGTCACGCACTTCCGCGAAATCGAAGCCCGGAGGTCGCCATCAACGCCAGCGCAGCGGTCTCCAGCTATCTGGGCCGGGCGTTGGCACCCTCGATGACTCGACGGCCCCCGGGCCAGCACTGGACGGTCTCAGCAAATTTTTCGCCCAGCACCTGCCGAATCTTGCCCTTGAGACTCCTCCGCCGAACTTTGAGAACTCGGACAGTGCTGCGGCTGCGGCGAACACCCCCACGGGGCTGGACAACCTCGGTGGAGCCGTGGAGTCGTGGGTTCGGAAGATGACAACGCGCGCGAAGGCCAGCTTCAACGAGCTACAGCAGCCGCCGAGCAACCCGACCAGCGATCCCGCACAGGTCGTCGGACGGCGCGGGACGGGAGATCTCATCGAGCTGAACGACGGGTTAGAGTCGCGCGCCTCCTCGAACCTCATCGCCGAAACCCGGTGGAAGCCCGACCTGGTTCGATCCGAGGGAAGCTCCCTGCGGGGGCGTTTCCCCAGTCCATCCCCCGGGACGAGCCGGACTCGTTCGGGGGCTGATCGGGCGAAGGACGATTGATCATCCGAGCTACGCGTGGCCGTTTGCTTCCTTCTTAATATCTATTTCCTGTTTGGCTCGATGGCAGAGTCACCTGTCACCTGCTGGGCGATCAGGCATTTAACTTCAGCGATACAACACCCTCTCCCCTACCCTCGTGCACCCCGCATAGCACGACGCGACGGACGCTGCGTCGTCCGACGACTGTAATTGATGTGGCTTTTGTTTGGACTGGGGACATCCTACTGTGTTCATTTTGTACTTAGAGCGGTGCCGTTGGGGGATCAATGGCACCGGACCGTGCGTGTCTCAGCATCGGACGATGATGCGATGAGGGGACCATCCGCTAGAATAATATATTCATCCGTCGTTATACATAGGCTTTGAGCTGCAGCGGGAGGGAATTCTTCCATCCATCCATCCCCAGCCCTCTGCACTCTGCACTCCACACTGCCCTGCAGTCAATCACTCGCTCACTCACCTACTCACTCAACCGCTCAACCAACCATAGTATGTTCATAACCATGCCATGCAAGGAAGAACATAACATCCGACCAGTCATTCCACCCCAACCCATCACCCTCCCATCCCTCAAACCCTCAAACCCTCAAACCCTAAACCCCATCTCTTAACTCCGACCCCAACCCAACCCAACGGATAAATCCCCCCAAACTTCCACCTATAACAAGATAACCCCGCAACCCCGAGTCTGGGGTACATGCATGCAAATATCCGTGCAACTGCTCAGACCGTCCGTCCAAGGTTGATCCATGTCTGTCGGTGTTGGGCAAGCTTTTTGTCTGGCGGTTTAGTGGAAGTCTCACTTGGTAATATGGGATAACTTGGCAGATAGCCTGAGGGCTGGGTGGGGTTGACTAAGGGAGAATGGGGGTTAAATAGTGAGGGGAGGGATTCTGCAGCGTGTATATTTCATGTCAGTGATTGAGTGCTTAAACATGGCGATGGCGATTCCGGGTGTCTCAGGGCTGGCGGTAGCCCTGACTCGGACTCTGACTCTGGCGCTGGCTACATTGGGGGCTGCTTTGCCGGGTTCATCAGCAGCAGCAGCAGCAGCAGCATCCTCATTCTCCTCTTCAGTTCATGTTACCTTACACACTACTCCCTCTTCTTCTGCTTCTGCTTCTGCTTATCCCTTCATCCCAACCGTCACCCTTCATCCCCAATCCCGACCCCAATCTGCCAACAAAACCATCATCATCGGCCGCTCCCTTCCCGAATTCAACCAGGACCTCTTCCTCGGCATCAAATTCGCCAACGAGCCCGTCCGCTTCACGCCCTCCGTGCTGAAGTCCACATACACCGCGGAGGACAGCAACTCCGGCCCGTATGACCCGTCTGCATTGGGGGTGTCCTCCACCTCCACTTCAGATACGATCCTCTACAACGCAACCGAATACGGCTACGACTGTCCCGGCTACGGCTCCGACGACGACGAGCTCGAAGAACTCGGCTGGGTCAAGTACAGCGAGGACTGCCTGAATCTGAATGTCGTTCGGCCGCAGGGTGAACAGGGGACGTTGTTGCCTGTCATGGTGTGGATTTTTGGAGGTGGGTGGATGGAGGGGGCGACGGCTGATCCGAGGTATGGCTTTCTTTTCTTTTTTTCTTTCTTTCTTTCTTTCTTTCTTTCTTTCTTGATGATTGGATTGTGTTGGGGGTGAGGGAAGGGGTAGAGGGAGATAATATGTGAATTGTGTGGATGTGCTGAGTATGCGATGTGCGCAGGTATAACATGAGTTACATCCTGCGTCAGGGCGCAGTAAATGGGAAGCCGGTGATCGGCGTCTCGATCAATTACCGGGTTGCGATGTTTGGGTTTTTGGATTCGGAGGAGGTCATGGTTTGTCTATCCCCTCCCTGCCTTCCCTCCTTGGTCTTCATGGGCATGAATATGGATGTGTGCATGGTAGGAGTAGCGCTAACAGCCTCTGACCAGGCATCCGGCAACACCAACCTCGGTCTTCGAGACCAGCGCGTCGCCATGCACTGGGTGAAGCAGAATATCGCGGCCTTCGGGGGCGATCCGGAGAAGATCACTATCTGGGGGGAGTCGGCGTGCGTATACCGCCACCTACTTATCAAAGATGGGCAATTGCGCCAATCTAACTAACTGGTTGGTTGTAGAGGTGCATACAGTGTGGGTGCACACCTGGTGACTAATGATGGTGATGATGAGGGTCTTTTTCGGGCTGGTATGTTGACTTCGTCCTTTTTTTTCTCTCAACTTATTTTATCTGGTCTGGACTGACTCAATCAGCTATCATGGAGTCTGGAAACGCAGTCGGGCCTCCCTGGAATGGCACGGACTGGTACCAGCCTATGTATGATGAGCTGGTGAATAAGACTAAGTATATTTACCTCTTCTCCTGCCCAACACACCTACCAGATACACAAGACACAATACTAGACACACACATACCCACATTCTCTCTTTCTCTTCCCCCTCCTTGGAACAAACACTAACAACAAAAGCTGCACCACCTCCCTCGACACCCTGCAATGCCTCCGCGACGTCCCCTTCCCCACCTTCTACAACCTCGCCTACAACGGGCTCGAATGGTTCGGCACCATTGACGGCACCTTCATCAAAGAATTCCCGCAGATCAGCATCACGGAGGGCCGCTTCGCCAAAGTGCCCATCCTGCATGGCACCAACACCGACGAGGGAGTGAGCTTCGGGACAACGGGGACGGACACGGATGCGGGGTGTATTGAGCAGTTGATGGGTGAGTTTACCTATCCAAAGCACGAAAACAAACCCAGCCCCAGTCTCGGGAACCTTGGGCCCTATTACTCTGATATACACCCCTATATCCACATCATACCCATATCCATACTCATACTCATACGAACCCAATGTCAACACTAACATCAATCACCCCCAGCATCCAAAAGATGGGTCCTCACAGAAACCGAAGCAACCACCATCCTCTCGCTGTACCCCAACATCTCGGCGCTGGGCTGTCCCTACGGCTGGGGAAACACCACCTGGCCGTCCAAGGGCTACGAATACAAGCGGTACGAGTCCATCGCGGGTGACCTAGCCATGTACGCGCCCCGTCGTCTGCTGGGCACGCACATGGCGCAGTATGAGCCGAACGTCTACGCTTACCGGTGGGATGTCGCCGCGCTGAATGATTCGAGTACCATTGGGGTGGAGCATTTTGCTGAGGTGAGAGGGTCCTTTCATTTGAATACCTATCTACCTCTGGTATTCTTGATCCAGTGGAGAAGAGGAAATAGGGGGGGAACGTGTTTACTGATGCTGTACTGATATTTGATGCTGATGCTGATGCTGATGGTATGCTATGATATGATATGGTGACAGATCCCCTTCGTCTTCGCCAACCCGGTCCAGAACATCACCGCACTGGGATCGGATCCTGCGCGTCTGGAACTGGGCGATCTGGCCGCGAGGATGTGGACGGCTTTTGCGACGGATTTGGATCCGAATGGGCATGGGGGTGTGTATTTCCCTTCCTCCTTCTCCTTTCCTCCTCCTCTCCTCCGCCTCCTATTCCCTTCCTTCCTTCCTTCCTTCCTTCCTACCTACCCTACCCTACCCTACCCTACCTACTATCTTCTATTCCAGACACACAGAGATAATTCTCTCCCTCCCTCCCCCCCCCCCATTCTTATTCTTATCCTTCTCCCCTGCTTTATCAGTCAGTAACCCGCAATGGCGAATCAGAACTAACAATCGGAAATATGAAATGAATTAGTATCCAACATCCCCACATGGCCAACATACAATCCCTCTGATCCCCAAGACTTTGTCTTCCAGCTTCCCAGGACGGACAGTTATGTGGAGGCGGATACGTATCGCGCGGAGGGCATGGCGTATATTAATTCGATTGCGCGGTGAGGGGTATATACATATATATATACATATACATATACATATGCATTTGTTTCATATTCAGGTACACGTATAGTATGTACAATATACACAGTGGAGGAGGGGAGGAGTGTTAGGAAGGGGAAGAGTGTGAGTGGGAGTGGAAGTGTTTATAGGACGGCACTTAAAGCAAGCAGATGGATAGATAGAATGGAACACACATATCAATAGCCACTCCACTCCACTCCACTCCAACCTTAATGTGGATATAGCCAGCCAGCCAGCCAGCCATCCTATGAACCGATATCGGGACATAATGTATACAGACATACTTTACATATACCTATGTTTCACGTACTATGATCTTATCAATCAGTCAACCAATACTACAAGAGAGAGCGAGAGAAAGAAAGAGAGAGAAAGAGAGAGAGAGAGAGAGCTTCAACAGCTAAACTACAACTCGACTGAACCGAACCGATCTAGATAAAACGAACTGAACCGACAAAGATCCGCACCACCGTTTTCGTTTCCGTATCCGTTCATTTTCCTTTCCCGCTAACAGAGAGATCCGATCCCATCCAATCCAACCAAACCGAGAAATCCAAGGGAAGTGAGTGAACCGATCGATCGATCGATTAATTGATATGTCAATTAATCAATTTCAGTTGATCGAGTCAAGTCAATTCAAGTCAAGCCAAGTCATACCAAGCCGGGTCAAATCGACTTGGTTGGATTTAGTTGATGCCGAGGAGCTCGACCTCGCTGGTTTCGTTAGTCTATTACTTCTACCCCTGCATTTTTTGGTGGGGAGGGGAGGAGGTATCCATGCAGGAAGAGATATAACAGATAGGATATAGAAGAAATGCAGCAGGGAAGAGACAAGCAAGGAACAGAGACAAACTTACAAAACAAGAGTCGAGTTAGCAGGGATCAGACCGGGGAAACCCTGGTTACCGTAGCCGTAGTCACTAGAAACGGCATTAGCTTCTTCATCTGGAGCTAGCTAGCTATCCCACTAGCTAGGCTGGCTGCTAGATAGATCGAGGGGCGGGCTACTCACGGGGAGATGGTCAGGATGGCCTTCTCGCCGACGCTCATCTGGGGGACACCCTCGTCCCAGCCTGGTCAATTGTTAGTAATACAGTTTACTATATATATATATAATTATAGAAAGATAAAATATAAGATATAAATGAAAAAAAAAAAAATAGACAAACCCTTGATGACACGGCCGGTACCGATGGAGGTCTTGAAAGGACCGCGGGTACGGGAGCTGTCGAACCTGGATGATGTCAGTGTCTGATGACGCGTTTCAATTCCATCATATCGTTTCATGTCATGGTCCAAAAACACATGTCCATGATCAAACCAGCCAATCCAATCCAAAAAAAAAAAAAAAAAAAAAAAAAAAAAAAAAAAAAAAGAGGAAAGAGAGGGGAAAAAGGAGGTACATACTGCTTGCCCATGTTGTGGCTATCGGCCTTGGAGGCGTCAAACAGACAACCGGTGTAGTGGATGGACACGACGTCGCCCTTCTGGGGGAACTGGGTGCCGTTGCCGGGGGAGAGAGTGGTCTTGGTGACGCCCATTGTGAGGATGTGTGTGTGTAGGTAGTAAATCAAAGATACGTGGATTGATTGAGATGAGATGAGGGGGAAAGAAAAAGAAGAGAGAGAGAGAGAGAGAGAGAGAGAAAGGCGATGGAGGGGAAAGAAAAAAGGGAAGGCAAATCGCCCAAGTGGGGGCCACCACTAATTATACTGCAAACGTGCCCGCGGGTTCGAGCCCCGGATGGCTCGACTGGCAGATGTATCTTCCTACTACTTCCTTATTATCTGATGCATAGATCCTCGCTTGCCGCGTCTCGCCTGAACAATTCCCATCAGAGAGGAAATTAATCTATCGAAGGGCCCGTTCCTCGCCCCCTCCATCGCTCCATCCTATCGCGTCCGTCCCCAATGGCATCATTGTGCAGATCGTCTGCCGCCAGTGCCGCGGTTTATTCGGTCCATTCGTATTAGATACTACCTCTGGTTAGACTTCTTCAACGCTAGGCTGTACCTGGAAGAAGGCGTCGTGGAACATAAGGCATGGGTGTCTTCTAACCAACACCCATACATAGGTAACATACTCCGTACAGGGTGTAGGATAACACATTGAGAACTGTGAGATTGGGGTATATTTCCTACACCAGCCCCTCCCCCCATTGAACGTATCAAGTTCTCTCCAACCCAGCACCCCTATTCCATACTTTATCTCAAAACGGACGGGGCGGTGGCTGTAGCGGCGGCACGAAAGCGTAAACCCACCCCAATGGATCGAGATGCAGCAATCACACGCCGTTCGTCTTCGAACCTCCACCCGCGCCAGATGGCACCGAAAAAGCAACTCCACCTGTCAACAATGCATGCGCCTTCTGCATCCTATCCCATCTCATCCCCCGACCTCTCTTCCCCATTGCCTGTTCCCCATGCAAAGACCCCCCTCTCTATGGCGCCCAGAACGGCATTTCCTTCACCTCCGCCAATGCCACCGATTTGATCTGCGTCCGAGGGAACCGGGGGTCGACCTTCTCCCCGCCGCTGTCCGCTTCTCCCAGCGCGAGATAATGCATCGTGCTGATACCCGCCTGCTCCAGGAACGGCACCACGCGGTGGAAGTTCAGTCCGACCTGGTCCAGCCCGTGGCTGTCGTCCGATAGGCAGAACCGGCCGCCGCGGGCGAGAAACTCCTGCATACATCATATCACATCGCATTAGCTTGGTTCTCTCTTCGTCTTCGCGCTAGGAGGTACGCCACAACAGTACCCCAGTAGCTAGGTAGGTACCCTTCACCTCCAGGTAGCTAGCTAGCTAGCTCGCTCCGCTTTCTACCCACCCCATAAACAAAGCCAAAGCCAAAGCCAAACCCCATACCCAAAGAAAAGAAAGAACTGAAACAAAAATACACACCTTACAAATCTCCCCCTTCGGATACGGCTCACTCATCCCCTTCCTCAACGCGGCCGAATTCACCTCCAAGAGCCCTCCATACGCCGCCACGAAGTCCAAATTCCGAAGAATCTTCTCCCACACGCGGGGCCACAACGTAAAGCTGCGTTCGGGATCATCGCTCTTCAGCCGGATCAGATCGAAGTGCCCGACCACCACAGGCCGCAGCTGCTGCAGCATGTCGAGCTGCTCGTCGAAGTAGGCCTCGAAGAGCTGCGCGTCGGAGCCGCCGGCACGCTCCCGCGCGGTCTCGTACAACGCGCGGTCGTAGTCGATGGGGATGGTGAGGGTGTGGTGCACGGAGCCCATGAAGAATTCGAAGGGGTGTCGGGAGAGTGAGTCTTCGATGAGGGTGCGTGAGGCGGGTCGGATCCAGTCGATTTCGAAGCCGATGAGGATTTGAATCTGCGAGGCGTATTTGGCGCGCAGCCGCGTGGCTTCGGCGAAGTAGGCGGCTTCGTTGGCGATGTGGCTGGTCAGGGTGGTGTTGGTTTCGAGCTGGGAGGGGTTAGTATGGGATGGGATGGGATGGGATGGGATGGATGGGGGAGGGGTGAGTGACTTCTTCGGGGTAGAAATCTTCTTCATGACGCGGCATGTGCTCCGTCAGACAGAAGGTGTGGAATTTCTTGGAGATGGCCAGCTGAATGATCTCCTCCAGGGAGTCTTTGGCGTGGCCCGGACAGAATTGGCCTGAGTGGCTGTGGTGGGAGAATGGCATCTGGATGATCACTGTTAGGATGGGTTTGGTGAGTCAGGGGGATGATGTTACCCCGCAATGAGGGGTGAGAGAGATGTGGGGGTTGGCAGTGTTGCTAGAAATGTCAAGTAGTCTGCCTGTCTGCCTGTCTGTCTGTCTAGACTGGAGGGAAGATGCGTGTTTATAGTTTAGATGCAATCATGTGTACGTCGTGGTGGAAGAGAAGGAGAGTGCGGGAGGGTCGGCGTTCTGGCGGCAGCTCCGCTAACTTCAACGCTCCGGGAGATCGATCGGCCGCCGATATGCACGTCTGTCTTTTCCACGGCAGTTCTGTAGATACCTTCGGTATCCAGTGCCTTCACCACCAACCTCACCACTGTGTAGACACAATATCACTGCGAAACCCTGAAAACTAGACAAAATAGCTAGCTACACCCCATCCAGCCAACCAGCCAGTTCAATCCCAACCCACACACCGCGATGCTCCCAAACACCCAGTATACCTCCTCTATCCCATATCCCATATCCCATATCCCATATCCCACAGCCAGAATCAAGTATCCTACCCAGCCCAGCCCCATATCAACAATCATCCCACCGCAACAACCATCGCAACCACATACTCCCCATCATGCGAAATCGACAACTTCCCCACCTGCCCATCCCCATCCCCATGCTCATCCAAATACACCACCTCCGGCCTTCCACTCCCACTCCCCTCATCCACCTCCCCGACCCTCACGACTACATCCTTCCATCCGATGCGCGCGGCGCCCCCGGGACCGGCTTTCCGCGCGGCCTCTTTGGCGGCGAACCGGCCGGCGAGCCAGCGGGTGATTTCTGGGGTTATAGGTACGGGGGTGGGGATGTGTTTCGGGGGGAGAGGTGTGGATGGGGATGTGGATTTGGATGTGAACGAGGCGGAGCTGGAGCTGGAGCTGGAGCTGGAGCTGGAGCTGGAGGGGTTTGGTGAGGGCGAGGAGGAGAAGTCGAGAGCAGGGAGCGAGAAGCGGGCGCGGAAGTCTTCTTGTTCGCGGGCGTGGAGGATGCGGCGGGTGAAGCGCGCGAGGTAGGAGGGGCGGGCGAGGAGGCGGGCAATTCGCGGGAGGTGGACAATGTCGGTGCCGATGTTGAGGGAGAAGGGGAAGGGGGTGGGTGGTTTCATTGTGTGCGTGGTTGGAAAAGATTGTATGGTGTTTGGGGAACGATGGTCGGCCAGTACTCCGTAATAATGACCTATCTAGGTCCGGGGTAAAGTACCGGCCGGGACTTCCTTCCGCTTTTGTACCATATCTTCGACCGACCTGCACCTGCCCATCTTCCTGCACCATCACTCTACCTTCTTTATACACAAGAACACCATCACGAATAATGGCACCGCAGACGACCCCCTCGCAATCTGCTCAAGAAAACAGCACCCGCGTTCTTAGAAGCGCGAGCCGAGAGCAACCCCCTCTGTCCCCCCAAAAGCTTTTCGAAGAAATTCTACACCAAGTGGCCGAGGCTCAGAATTTCACCGAGTTGGTGTACCATAATGTTGAGCCTGAAGACGGAGCCTTGGTTTGCAAGTCCCTACGGGCCAACAAGCAAGTAGAAAGAAGATCTTGTCGGTATATATAACCCGCCTTCCGCTTTTCCTTGATCTTTAACCATACTCATGATAATAGAATAAATTTCAACGCTTTCCCAGGAACCTTGCGGGTGGTCGTTATGCCGACAGAAATCCACGACGTTCATCAACGTTGGGCGATCTATTCTGCTGGGTCCTGGAGGGAAGACGATCTAATCACACCCGACGAACGTTACGAACTGTGCATTGGAGTGGGGACTAGTAGGTGTCATATACTTCTATTAGCTTGTTTTGACACTAATGTCTCTTTAGCTTTCACGGGATTTGAGGGAATATATCAAGGCTCCTCTAAGGAACCGGACCTGTTCATGCGTGCTGACGTCATCGAATTCCCAGCCATAGTAATCGAATCTGGCTGGTCCGAGAGCTTCCCATATCTCCGAAATGATAAGGACGTGTGGATGCTAGGAAGTTCTGTAGTTGAGGTGACAATACTGTTAAAATGGACTGAACTGGCCCGGAAACGCGTGAAAGGTGACATAGAGGTGTGGAGACGAGATGGGAGCGGAGGCCTCACCATGGAACAACACGTTAGTATCTTTCTAATTCCTGGCAGAATTAGATTGGAAAACTACTAATATCCAGAGCCTAGGCCATCTTTCCGCAACCCCCTCATCCTCTGCCTGGTGATCGCATTGAATTTACGAAACAGCAACTTTTCAAGGGCTCGGATATCAGCATCGCAAACCCCGGTACCACAATCTGTTTGGAGTTGTCGACATTGAGAAGAATGGCAAAACAGCTTCTGACAAAAAGGATGGGTATGCAACCTGCGTAGGTTGACGCGGATGATGGCTTCCACCCACAGTATTATGATGAGCGTAGGAGACGGCGGCAACGATACGGGTCGATGTCTTTTTTCATGGATGTTCTTTGTTCTTTGGAGACTCATCGAGAAAGCAATGGAGTTAGGAGTCTTTACATTTGCAAGGTACTTCACTAGGTCCGTTATTTACATCGCGTACCCTCATCGCACCCATATAGCTTCTACGAACCGGTCTACAGTTTCTAGTTACCTAGAAAAAACAGCAGTTCGAACAAGCGTTCATGGTGTATACTCTATATGTACAGATTCACACCTCCCGTGGAGCCGCAAGCGTCCCAGCAGGGCAAGATTCGATCAAGGACACACCGCCGACCCAGTCCCGGTGATCCATGTCATCCCAACTGACCACGGTTCAGTCCAGACACCGCACGCGGACGACTCGCGCCGGTTGCCCTCGATGCCGTCCATATTAATGCGGTGTTTTCTAATGATCCTTCTTCTTCTCCCCGCCGCCGTTCATCTGGTTCAAGAAGTCCCTGTTGTGGATGTTGGTTAGCCGCGGGGTCTGGTCTTGTGGTTCTCGAATTGCTCTGGATAGCTCGGACTCTGGACATCCAGCTCCGTGTTTTCGAGCTCCAGACACAGTAGTACAGTTCGAGTCACCGGTCAAGGTCAAAAACGTACTGGATGAAGACCTCCTCGTCCTTGGACTCGGCCTTGATGGGGGGAGCGGCCTGCTTGGGCTGGCCACCACCGCTGGTGGCGAGCTTGACACCGCCGAAGAGGGCACCGAGGACGCCCATGGCGAGCTAGACAGGGAAGAGTCAGTCAATATATGTATTGGTGTGTGGTGTGTGGTGTGTGCCGTCGGGGCAGGCGTGCAACCCGGCTGGCCCGACCTCGGCAGAGATTGGTTGGGACAGGGGAGGGAGGTTGGTTGGGAGGCGGCAGGAACGTACGTAGTGGGAGCCGATCTGCTTGCCGGCGATCTGGTAGTAGACGACCATGGTGACGGATTGGAGGAGTGCGTTCAATGGAGAAGGGGTGAAGCGGCGGATGGAGCGATGCGATGCCAGGGCCTGCGGGATTCAGTCGTTGGTCGGCTGCGAGGGAAGTTGGCGGCTGTGGTCCTTGCCTGTTTGGGATGGCTGACTCAGGGCTGACTCAGGGCTGACTCAGCTGCTCTGAAATCAGGTGATTACCCGGGAGTGCCCGAGCCACGTGACCGTGAAGCCGGAATGGGCATCACGGGATATGGCATGACCTAGTAGTACGGAGTAGCTGCAGACAACACCTGCATCATTGATGCGTGTCGAGAGAATCAATAGGAACGGTCACGATAGCCCTCTCAGTAGGAAAGAAGAAACAACCAGCATGTCCATGTTACCAGTCACCTCTGGGGGCCAGCGCAGCGCAGCGCCATCCATCCGGGCCTCGGGGAAGTGAACTCTTCCCTTGGAATTGCCCCGGCTATTACGATGTATGCCATCTGGCCCGGCTGCCTGCGGTATGTGGCAGCAAAGGCCGTGGATTATTATAAGAGCCGACCGGGGGATTTTCCCGCGGCTTCGCTGGCAGCTCCTGCTTTGACTTTATCCCCTCGTCACACTCGACCCCCTCTCTTTCTCTCCCTCGTTGTGTCTCTTCATCTCTCTCTTTTTGTCTCTCTAACCATCTACTAGCACCACCTCCGCCATCATGTTCTGGGGGAAACAACACAAGGAGGACAAGGCCACGCCCGAGGCAGACGAGCAGCCCATCCCTCGCTCCAAGCTGCCAGCTGCGCTGCAAACCCTGGCCGATCGCGACGACGATTTCTACGATGACATTTATTCTCCATAGTATGTTCTCCCTTCCTCTCCCTACTGTCATGCCCACCCCGTTCCCCCGACCGATCGCCATCCCATCGTCATCGGCATCTCCGCCTCTCCCCGCACTCTCCCCGCAAGCTCCCCGGGAAAACGCTCCCTTCTCCCCAAACAAACAAACAATCACCACCAAACCCAACCCGCATACCAACAACCACAACTCCATAATAATAACATAACCCCAGCTCCGTCGACTCCACCGAAACCCCCTACCGATACGCCGGGTACGCCAACCGGCTCCGCACGATCCTCCTCTCCGCGCACCGCTACGTCGCCTACACCTCCGACATAGGCGAATCGTTCCGCCCCGTCGCCCACCCCTGGCTCGTGCGGTCTGCCTACGGCATCTCCTGGACGTACCTGATCGGCGACGTTGCGCACGAGGGCTACAAGGCGTATCTCCGGAACCGACTCGTCCTGGCCCCGCCCTGCGAGGCGTACAAGGATGCCAGCGCCAACCCCAACCACCAGCGTACCGAACCCGCAAAGCTAACCCCCACAACCACGAACACGTCCGCAACGACAGCCACAGGCCCCGATACGCTCACACCCTGGCCGACGACCCACGTGCCGCTGGTAGAAGACTACCGGATGGTCATGGCCAAGCGCGCCGTGTTCCAGAGTATAGCTAGTATGGGATTGCCGGCGTTGACGATTCACTCTGTGGTGAAGTATTCCGGGCGCGCGTTGAAGGGCAGGAAGAGTGTGTTTTTGAGGACTTGGGTGCCTATTGGGGTATGCTTTCCCTCTCCTCGCCTCCCTTCCCCTCCCATCCCTTCTCCCTGTCTCTGCTTCTATGGTCCTTTTTTCCTACTCGGATATAATATATTTGCATATGCATGTGCGTACGCACCTTCAGAAACCAAATCCTAACCACGACTATTTACAAATATAGCTCGGCCTCTCCGTCGTTCCGTTCCTCCCCTACCTGTTCGACTACCCCGTCGAAGAAGCCGTCGAGTGGTCGTTCCGCACGGGTCTGCGCGCATATGCGGGCGAAGATGCCGTGAGGCCGTTGCCGCGGGTTTCGCATGCTACCTCTTCGGGTCATTCCGCAAGCGTGCACGCTGAGACGGGTAGTGCGGATGTCGATGCGAATGCGGAGACCCCCTCCTGGGAGGAATACAAGGAGGAGAGAAGACTAGCGAAGGAGCAGCGGAAGAAGGAGAGGGGTGAGGGTGCGGGGGTGCTGGGGATGTTGGGGTGGGGGGATAAAAAGAAGAAGGATTGAGGATTGAGGTGGATTATGCCATTCCATTCATTCATGGACTGTTGAAACGAACGTCTCTGAGATTGGGTGGCGAGGATGAGGTTGAGGTTGGGGTTTACCCTAAACCGAGGACGGGGTCATCGAGGATGGATGGATGGATGGATGGGATATTCCACGACGTATCCATCCATTCCATCCCATTATATTCTATTCCATTCTATTCTGTATTGTATGTACATACTCACTTACTTAGCGATTTCTACTCTTCTCAGCACGATATCTCCTTTGTTTGACTGGCATCATCACCACCATCATCATCACCACCAGGCCACAAAAAAAGAGAGACGACACCAGTCAGAATCAGGTCTGCCTATCTACTCCCTCAACCGCAACCACTATCCACCACCACACCAATAAAAAAGTACCTACGTTCAAGCAGGACAATACAGTACAATACTATACTATATAATATAATATGATATAATATGATATAATATGATATAATGTGATATAATAAGAACCTCACTCATATTGAACAAGCACTCACTCCGTCATCCGCGAGCCTGAGCCGATCGCGATACTCGCACTCGCACTCGCACTCTACAAAATATACATCTGTACATAATAATAAATCACAATATTCAAACAGGACGGCGACAGCGACAGCGACGGAAAGGAAAAGAGAGGAAGAACAGGGGTAGTAAGTAGTAAGTAGGAGAGTTATAGCACGGCGTCACTCGTCACAGGGACCTACCACCCAACCATTAGACATAGATAGATAGATAGATAGAGTCGGGAACGACTTTGGTCCATCGGAGGAGAGAGAGAGGAAAGGGTGGGTGGGGTTTAGGTCTGTGTCACTTCACTTCACTTCCCCTCATCTCACCTCACCTCATCAAAGGAGAGTCAGAAATAGGAATGGAATAAGAGAGAGAGAGAGAGAGAGAGAGAGAGAGAGAGAGAGAGAGAGAGTAGGAAAAGAAAAGGCAGAAACGTGTGGGGAATAAGAAGGGAAAACGCGTGGGAAAACATGTAGATGTAAATATAAAACAAAAAAAAAGAAGAAGAAATGTCAAAGACGCAGGGCAGTGGTGGCTGGCATGCAAATGGGACAGTGGTAAGTAAATGGAAGTAGAGATAGAAATGAAAATGGAAATGGAACGATGAATATGCTTGGAATGAATGGTCCATTCGGGAAACGCAGAGTCCGAGCTTCCTTCGTGGTTCCGTCTTATATTTTCACCCTGTCTAGCACTGAACAAAATACACAATCCATTTTTTTTTCTTTCTTTCGTTGCATAACTGACAGACCCCGGCTTAGTTCCAGCCGAGGGAATTCTCCGCCATCACTGGCGCACTAATCATCTGCGACCGCGCTGTGCCGCGGCTGTTCTGGCTGCCGCGAGACATACGACCTCCCGCGGCAAACGCCGATCCAGCATGCGCCTCGCTCATCTGGTCCGCGCTCGAGGGCGACCGCTGGTGCAGCTGGCGCTTCTTGCGGTACCGTTGGGCAACCCAGAACATTCCCGCACCATACGCCGCAGCACCGGCCACGGCACCGACACCAATGCCAACCGCGCTGGCCTTGGTGGTGCCGGAGCTGCTGGTTCCAGCGTCCGACTGCTCGTCGTTATCGCTTCCATCACCGTCACTGCCGCTGCTGCCGGATCCACCGGAGCTGGAGGAGCTGTCGCCGGAAGCCGAGACCGAATCGCCCACCAGAAGAGGAATCGACGGGTCGATCATCGACATCAACGTCTTGACCGTCTCGCTCGGCTGCTCATACAGTTTCGAGATCGGGTTGTGAAGCATCTTCCTCAGCGTGTCCACATCGCCCGATGGGATGTAGGCCAAGGCAACAGTGGCGATGTAGCCCGTGCTAGCCGAGTTGTCATAGGGCTGGATGTCGTACATGACCACGTCGGTGTCATTGAGCGCCAGGGCATAACCGAGACCCTCCGGGACATACATGAAGATCTGGGACGAAGACAAGGGCGTCGTGGCCACGAAGCTGTAGCGCAGCTTGCCGTTGAACCCGATCTGGATCAGGGTATCGTTCTTGGGCCTCTCGGGAAGACCTCCAGCGGGGGAGATCGACCCAGGAAGCTGAGGGCTAGCAGTGGAAGTGGCCGAGTGCGTCGCAGTACCCGTGTGCTCAACCTTGGAAGTCGTGGTCTCGACAATCAGGATGCTGGATGGCAGATAATCATCGGAGTCCGAGGAGGTAGAAGTCGTGGTGGGGGTGACAGTGGTCTTCGCAGCCTTCTCGGTCGTCGTCGGCACCTCTTCTGTGGTCGAAGGCGTTTCCTTGGTGCTGGTGGAAGAGGGGATTGTCGGTGCCGCGGAAGCCACAACCGAAGGTTGGTTGGTGGAAATGATCAAGGGGATCGAAGTAGGGGGGCCCGAGATGGAAGTGAACTGAGAGACAGACACAGACTCAGCAGAAGCCGTGACGGATCCGGAGATGGAGCCCGAAGCAGCTCCAGTAGCGGATCCAGAGAGAGTTCCCGTGGCAAAGCCGGGGATAATAGCGCCTGAGACTGATCCAGAAGACGCCGCCGCAGTTGCAGCAGATCCTGTAGATCCGAAGAGACCGGTCGAGGCAGACAGGGTCGCGGACGCAGATCCAGGCACGATCACTGGAACCGAGCCAGACAAGCTTGCAGACTCAGTAGCAATTGCAGCAGACCCAGACAGGGTCGCCGAGACCTGACCGGGAATGATCACGGGAACAGAGCCAGACGAGCTGGCCGAAGCAGACTCAGGAATAACCGGAGCAGAGCCAGACACGGCTGCCGAAGCAGTAGGCACAATCACTGGAACAGAGGTAAACAGACTTCCAGGGGCAGACTCGGAGACAACCGCAGCAGAGCCAGACACGGCGGCCGAAGCAGTAGGCACGATCACGGGGACCGAAGTGAACAAGCTTCCTGCGGAAGACTCGGGCACGACTCCAGCAGACCCAGACAAGGTCGCGGAGATCAGACCGGGAATGATCACGGGGATAGAGCCAGATGAGCTTGCCGAAGCAGGCTCAGTAGCAACGTGAGCAGAGCCCGACACAGCTGCCGAACCAGTAGGCACAATCACTGGAACAGAGGTAAACAAGCTTCCAGCAGCAGAATCGGATACGATCGCAGCTGAGCCAGATGCAATTGCCGAAGCAGGCAGAGACACGATCACTGGGGCTGAAGACAGGATTGCCGAGGCAGACTCGGACACAACCGCAGCATCAGAAGAAATGGGCAGGATCGCGCCACTCGTAGGGAAGGCAATGCTAGATACAGCGGCGGCGTCAGAAGAGATGGGCAAGATCGCGCCTCCAGTAGGAAGGGCAATGCTAGACACGATCGCAGCGTCAGAGGAGATGGGCAGAACAGCACCACTCGTAGGAAGGGGAACGCTAGACACGATCGCTGGCACCGAAGACAGGATATCAGACACAGCTGCAGCGTCAGAAGAGATGGGCAGAATCGCGCCACCCGTAGGAAGGGCGCTGCTACCAGTGACAAGCGGGGTCACCGCTCCAGCCGTGGGGAGTTGAGATCCGCTGGACGCGCTGGCGACGAGGGCCGTGGAAGTGGCCGAAGAGCCCAAGCCCAAGCCAGGGCTGCTGGCGATGCTAGACACATCCGAGCCCAAGTCCGAGGCCGCCGTGCTCACCAGACCAGGGATGTAAATGAATGCCGAAGAGCTTTCAGGCGCGGAAGTCGCGATCTCGGCCGAGGCCGAAGATGTAGGTGTTACCACAGGGACGCTGACCGAGATGGTGGGCAGACTCGAAGTGAAGGCATTGGCATCAGCGGAGCCGCTAGCACTCTGGCTGTAGGCTGGGCTGGATCCAGTAGCGGTGGCGGAGGAGAGCAGCTGACCTGTGCTGGAGCTGTGGGGCAAGAGATCCGTGAGGAATCCGATGATCCCTCCAGACGCAGGTGTTGTAGTAGCGGCCACATCTTGAGACGTGGAACGGATGATACTCGACGCCGCCCCACTGGTCTGGGAGGCCGCGTTCGGAGTAACCTGGATGGACGTGGCCTGGCTCGAGCTCTGGCTTGACTCTGGCTGGGAGAAAGTCTGAGCCAGAGGGATCGGGGTGGAAGCGCTCTGAGCGGAGCTCTCGCTCGAGATGAGTTGAGTTGAAGACTCTGGCTTCGATGTCTGAGCCGAGCTCTCGGTTCTGAAAGCAGGAGTTGACGCTTCTGCGTTCGAAGCGTGGGTTGAGGTCTCTGCTTTGGAGATAAGAGTCGAAGTCTGCGTGTTTGAAGCATGAGCGGAAGTCTCCGTGGGGGACGCATAAGTGGAGGTCTCTGCCTGGGAAGCACCAGTGGAAGTCGCCGCTCCAAAAACAGGAGTTGAGGCATCCGTGTTCGAAGCCTGGGACGAGGTCTCCTTCGAGATCAGAGTCGAAGTCTCAGTGTTGGAAGCGTGTGTCGAAGTCTCCGTCTGTGAAGCGTCCACCTTCAAAACAGGGGTTGAGGTCCCCGCGCCAGACGTAGGGGTCGAGGTCTCGCCTTTCGAGATAAGAGTCGAGGTCTCGGTGTTGGTAGCACGGGCTGAAGTTTCCGTGTTCGAAGTGTGGGTAGAGCTCTCCGTCTGCGAAGCCTGGGAAGAAGATTCCGTCTTCGACGAGTCCACTCTCAAAACCGGAGTCGACTCCGCGCTGGAAGCATGGGTCGAAGTCTCTCCTTTCGAGATAAGAGTCGAGGTCTCCGTGTTGGTAGAGCTCTCCGTGTGCGAAACAGGGGTCGAAGTCTCGGTGTTTACGGCGGGGGTGGAGGCCTCCGATTTCGAGATAAGAGTCGAGGAGCTCGAGATCGAAGAGCTCTGGGTAGATTCCTGGGACGAGGTGGATGCCGAGCTCTCAGTGGTGGAGCCCAGGCCCGCACTTACATCCAAGAACGCAGCAGCTGAGCTGGACGCAGCAGCCGAAGTCACAGCGCTAGACTCAGTCTGCGCCGTGGTCGGGCTAGCGGTGGGGCTTGCCGAGGCGCTGCTTGCAATAGTGCTGGTAGAGCCCAACAGGCTCGAAACAAAGCTCTCCAAGGTATCGCCAAACGAATGGCGAGTAGTCGTGGGCACAGCCGATGAGGAAGTGTCAACGTTGGCGGATGACTCAGATGCAGAAGAGTGCGTCGCAGACTCCGACGTGGTTGAGTCTGTCGTGGAGGTACTCGAGCTCGTTGTGGTAGTGGCGGGTGCCGAAGCTGGGGTGGCGCTCTCCAATACGGAGCTAGTGGAGGTCGAGGCGCCGGAAATTGATGGTACTGTGCCCATAATAGTATGAGTAACGCCATACGCGTCCACGGAAAAAGTAACGGGGACAACGACGACAGGTGACGGTTCCAGGTTCGGCGTGTGTTCGTTCTCTGTAGTCACATCCGCGCCTTGTACCATTGTATCTGACCGGGTGGACAGCTCCACAGGTGTGACGGGGTGCGACGAGACATCCGGGGTGCCGGACACAGCATAGCTGGCATCTCTCTTACCCAGGTTCGAGAGATAATGGCGGGCTCTCAACTCTTGAGCCTGCGCGGCATCCTGGGCCGCGACCAGTTCAAGGCCACCCAGGGACAAGAAGGCGGCCAACAGGGAGGTTGCGGGCGCAATCATATTGAAAATCGAAAGAACGTCGGACAAAAACAAGCGATAAAGAGCGATGAGGGGGTCCGGGGAGACCGCAACGGTGGTGAAAGGAATGGACAGAGCGCAGGCTCAGTTAGGAACCTCCAAAACCAAATATCCCAAGGCGCAAAGGCGTTCAAACGTTGGAAATCGGAGCCAATCGTCGATATCGCTGATGCATGGGGTCGGTGGCTGGGGGGTTCGATAGACTATCACCGGGCTGAATGGATGATGTCTCTTGCCGGCCTTTCCTGCGTCCACCTATTCCACTTTGCGAACCGAATTCGAGGCGAAGGAGCGAGCGGATGATATCGATATCCAGAATCGGGGTGAGGGCTGGGATGGCGTCGCGACGTCGGGGGACGGTAACGGGACCAACCACCAGGAAGCCTGCAGGAGTAAGAGAAACCGGATCACAAAATTCCCCGATTGAAGGTCTCGATGGCAACAAGCCCTAGCGGAGCGCTGACAGCAGGTCGATCGAATGGCGCACAGCAGCGGTGGGAGTTCGGGATAAACAAAGCGGGTCAAAGAGCGGCAGGGGGCGTGGTCGAGAGAAACCAACAGAAACCCCTCACGAGAAACCTCCAACAAACAAATCGATAACGAGCGTAATTGCAGCAAGGAGCGAGCGACGAGGTCTAAAACCGGATGGGTCAGGTAAGAGTAAGAGAGTGTTGTCGTGGAGAAGGGGGGGGTGTGGAGGGGAGGGAGGAGAGGGGGGGGGGGGGTTAGTTTAAGATCCCCGGGCGGTTGGAAGTAGTACCTGAAGAGGGCGCGACCGGGGGGGGAGGAGGTGGGAGAGGATGCAAGGAGAGAGAGTAGATGGATTATTGGAAGTCCTAACGGCTCGTTGACGCAGGAAATGTTTGAAGATGGGCTACGTCAACGAAAGCACCGATGAGAGGGGGGGGGGGGGGGAAGAAGATGGAAAAAGAAGGGCAAGAAAGAAAGATGACGAGAAGAAGAATGATACTAAGGAAGGACGGGGATTCAGCGGCGCAGCGGCAGAACGAGGAAGAATAATAATAATAACGACATGAAAGGAGAGTGAGGAAGAAGGGGAGATTAGCCCGGCCAGTTAGTCTGGTTAGGCCGGGATTTAGTCCATGGTCGGTTCGGTACAGAAAGAGTATGGTAATTAAAAAGGGGGTGTTGAGTGTGTAGAATGAGTGTACACTCACGGTACTCCGTACTGTGGCCACGCACCGGCTGAGGTGGGCCGGGATCCCCCCCCACTCCCTCACTCACCAGTGCGACTACGGACGGTAAGTACCGTATTTGTCCGTGGTTGCGGTAAATGACGACCACGCCCGCTTCCTGACCCGTTCCAGTCTTCCAGTCCCGGGGTGTCCTCAGGTACCCCCAGCAGACGTTCTCGACTCTTTCCACCGCCCAGCCAAGCAGTGGACGCTGTATCTGCGTGTACCGTGTACTGTGTGTGTCCCAGATGGGTTCTCTACTCTGTGGAGTGTTGTGGACACTGAACAAAATCCCCGTGGCGAAAAGGACATCCATCCACCCTCGAAATCCCCGTCGATGCGCCATCACGCTAGCACTAGGATGCCAGGCCATCAATAGTACGGAGAAGAAAGCCTAATTTGGCCGGTGCCTGCCGCAGCAGATCAACGGCGCTATAGATACTCCCAGCTAACAGCTCTAGATACTATTTATCTACATTCTAGGTACGAGGACTCTTTCTCGGGTCGATCCTGCACACCTGGCCCTACCGAGAATCCAAGGTGCCAATCGCATCTCTAGTATCCAGTACCTGGGATCCTCGTCGACGGTCTAGACAGTCAGACTTCAGACAAGGTCGCATTGCGTATTCCGATCGGCAATCCCAGGGTCTCGCCGTCCGAGGAGCTGCTTATTGGGATCCAAGGTGTCTATCTATCTATCGAGGCATCTATCAGGCATCGGTTCCGCAGTCCGGTACACAAAGGTGCTGCCAGAAGAACACGGCCAAGCGGAGGATTCACCTGGATACGATGGGATTATTATTATTCTGGCAGGCAGTAGCATTCGGGGTCAGAAGCCCACATTCATTGTGCTACCTCAGGAACAAAGACGCACCATTGGCGAAGCGGTTGAGAAAATACCCAGTCCGTCCCTCGGATTTAAGCAGCAGTCGGTAGGTAGATACGTGGCCTGGAAGGGAGGTGGGAGGTGGGATGGGATTCACTCAGGGACCAGACACCTCGGAATTCCAATGATCCCAAACCCGGGGTTTGATGCTTAATGTCGAAGTTGAAGCCATCCTCAATTTTCAGGCACGTCGTACAGCGTCGAGGCGAGAGAGGCCGGAGTGGCCAGGAGCAACTGCCGATCACGGTGGTACAGCGCCCATCGTAATTCCCGCCTCGCACGCCAGCCTCTTCTGCAAAGGGCATAATTCCGTCAAGGTTCGGACCACCGCAAGGTCTAGACTGACGGCGTCGGTTTAGTGCGGGTGGTTCCTGAATGGATGTGGGGATAGCCCCGGTGCGTGGTGGTACGCGCCGGGTGGCCGCCTCGTCGAATGATCCTGATCCATGGCATGGCTGGGACTGACTGGCAGATGGTTCCGATCAGACAGGTGGCTTCACGTCCGAGATTGGGGTCCGACTCAGGGTTTGGTTTGCATCGAGCTTTAATGATTTGATCGGAAGAAAGAATGTGATAGGCATGGAATCCTCTCCTGCCAACAGCGACAATTCTCAAGAGTGTTTGTTATACTGTGTACTTGAGTGTACCGTCACAGCCCGTCTCCAGTACATACCGTAAGGCGTACGGTGGTAAGATTGATCTCCCTCCTGATTGAGTCAGTCACAATCAACCTCCACCCTGGCTGTCTCACCATCACTGCTTAAATCAGAAGGATTCAGGTCTTTCCGTTGGATGGATTCTCGACGTACGCACACATCTGCCGCCGGCGCGGAGTCCGGTGTACAGCGCAGTATCCCGCAACCTACAGCCAGTCCAGTTCTGTCTGTCCTCTGTCCCGTCAACTCGATGGCATCAGGCATGCTGCTGCGGCGTCTTCCCTTGAATACTGACGGGCGGACGGTTGAAGATGATTTTCCATCCATCCAGCGGGCTAGCGGCGGACACTATCGACTGCAGTCATTTCGAGAACTCGTTGGACTCCGTTAGAGTCCTTGGCTAATTTCTTAGCCTGCAGCCGAAGGATGGAAAATAATCAGGCCGGCGATAAAATCGAGGGCGCATTCCTGTCTTACACCACGTGCATGTTCCGTGACGCCAGCAAGTCACGGGCAGCAGGCGAGTCGTTTTCTGTCTTTCCTCTTTTTTTTTTTTTTTTTTTTTTTTTTTTTCTTTTTTTCCCCATTCTCCTAATTTCTTTTTCTATCGCTATCGTCAATGCTTTTGCCCTGACATGACTGGTATGTCAAAAATGCCAGAAACATCGGTCACCGCCCTGGCCAGGGCACACGTCAGGGCTGAAACACTCGTCATTTCCATCCCTTCGGTCTCAGGACCGCAGCAGCGCCAGAAACAACCTGGTACAGCATTCCAGGGATCTGGGATTGGTTGGACCGGCACAGTCAGAGAGGATTTTGCAGAAGGGCCCCCTTGGTCATCGCTCATTCGAAGGCTGGATAAGATGGGGGCAGCTTGGCAGCTTGAGCTTGACGGTTGTACACAGTACAACTACACGGGGGTGTCGCCCACCCAGGCGTGCATATCAATTTGGCGATCGGCCAGTCCAAGCTCTGATAAGGTGCAAATGAAAATAATCAATAATATATATCTAGTAGTATGTAGTAGTCTGTAGTGGGAACTCGGACCGTCGTGCGTCTGAGTTGAGTGCGGCTGGTGGACTGGCGATGCCATATAGACTAGCTAGAGGAGCTAGCTGCTAGTAGGACTGACTAGTCAGGTCCTCCGTCGTCCGTATCTATCTCGTCCGTAGAACCTCCAGGAGGCCTCCGTCGGTGGTACCATTGTTCTCGTTGCTATTTTAATCCGGTAGGCTGAATTCGTGTTCAAGGGTCTCTTTTTAGAGCCTGGGGCTAGTGATTTGACGTAAGCTTACTCGGGATGCGTCGTGGATAGGAGGATGTCTCTTGTTTCTGTGCTGCATATACCTAGGAGTCAGGAGTCAACCGTCAACCGTCAACCGTCAACCGTTCCATCGATGTGACCTGCTCGATGCAGGCCCGTTGTATGATGATACATTGATCGGCCTCCTGACCCTGAACCGAACCGTGGCCAAATCTCGCCTGCGACCCAAGGACGGGGAAGTTGCGCTATTCCTGTTCCTGACTTTTGCCCCACCCCGTCCATTGGCTCCATTGGCTGACTGCCGGGTCTTGGCGCGTGCATTACCCCGATCGGGGCTAGGCCCGTACCGTACGCAACAGATACAGGCAGCAGAGACCGCAATATCCTCCAAACCGATCGCAACTGATGCTCGCGAGTCGCCAGGTCAGAACTACTCCCTCGTATCTAGTCGCTCGTCGCTACGAACTATGCTGGGCCGGCGGCTTCATCCTCCGCACCTTACCCAGAGAACCCTCCTGCCACGACCGAACCACCCGTCCGATTCCTATTAATAGGGGTGGTCTGTTCCTATCTTTCGGTTTCTGGTCCTGCCGTGGATAAACTTTGCCCTGGCCGACCCAGCCGATCTGAAACAGACTGGGATCGATCGTTTAAATAATGGAGGCCCCAGAACTGAGAACTGAGAAGAACCCCCCCCCCCAGTACAAGGTTCGATCCGGTCACCTGCTGCGTCCCATGATCGGTATCTCGTCGCACCCAAGCTCGGTTACCCGTGATGTACATTGCACATGCATAGAGAGAGAGAGAGAGAGAGAGAGAGAGAGAGCGGGGATCGCAAATTTGTCTATCGAGTATGGTGTGCAGATAAGAGGTTCTAACTGTACATTCAGCCAAAATGCAAATCATCTGCATATAAGCACATCACAGATCACATTGCATTACCCCTGCAGCGGTGATTTAAGTGCTCACGAACCCGGGATGCATAATGGAAACTGCATGATTCAGAGACGAGAGCCCCGGTTCGGCACTCTCACCACTCCGGTGCATTCAATCTCCACGTCCGTTCCCAGAGGCAATGTCTTGACGGCGACACATGTCCGGGCCTGTTCATTAATCAGTACACGATAGATCCCCCTCTGGGGGAGTAGAGGACGACGCACGGGCTTGGGGTCCACAAAAGATGAACTGTAAACTTCATTGACGGCCGCAAAGTCGTTCATGTCGGCCAGGAAGATGTTCACTTTTACGGCATCGTGGAGACTCGAGCCTCCGGCTTCCAGGACGGCGCTGAGATTTCGGAGGATTTGTTTCTGGATTCGGTGAGCGAGGCCTTGTTCTGTCGTTTAATTCGGAGTCAATGGGTGTATGTCGTACCGTTCTCTCTTGAATGGAGCCCTCCACCATCTTGCCCGTGGCGGGATCCACGCCCACCTGCCCGGAGCAGTAGACCATGTTGCCGACGACGATGCCCTGGGAGAGGAAGGGAGGGGGGAGGGGGGCATTCTGGGTGCGGATGGGGACTCTTGACGGCTTCCACATTTTGTACGAAAGATGCTATGCTATGTCCTGTGTGTTATGTAGACAATAACCGTGGGATGCGTTGGAGATATAGGCTGGGGAAAGGAAGGGATGGAGGTTGGATGCTGTCGATAAGCGGGGATGTGATCGATCAGTCACGCCCCACCACATATGACTAAAGAGTAAAGATAGCTGCAGAGGGATGGATAGATACTCCTTGGACATTAATGTCAACTCTGTATTCAGTACCAAGTCAATCATATATCAGTGGAAACATTTCAATTGTGTCAGTTTTGTCTTGTCTGGGATAAATCCGAGAGTTGGAGTTGTCGTGGGGACGGAGAAATATATAGAGGAGCCGTATGGAGTATCTTCCCGCTTGCCGGAACCAACATCTGCAACCAATGCAAGCATCCGGACATTACACATACCCTGCACCAGGATAGAGCTGATGTTTACTCTGATCTCGCTTATATCATGAAAGATATAGGTCCGGGTGCACAGATAGCACATTCCTACTCCTTTCAAGTAACCTGATGTTACTCACAACCCCCACCACCAGCTAAATCAAGAAGAATGGAGCAGAATATAAGCTTAAAGAGCTTACCAGCTGGCTACTCTGTCTCCTACCATCTAAGCAAATCTTTTGCTCTGACTCTGACTCCTCATGCCAAAAAAAAATGGCGACTCATCGCCAATTCACTATCCCAACCACTATCCCAATCACAACTCAACACAGGGCGACACGAGACCCGCGTCGGAATTTTCACCAGAACCCCCCTCTCCCCCCCGAGTTCATGATCCTCACGGTCTTTCTTCTCCATAACAGCATCACTCACTATGGACATGACCAGTGACTCCCAGTCGTCTGCTCCCATCTCGTCTCCAAGCATGGATGCGGCACCTCAGCCTCCCAACAAGCCTGTTCTGGCAATTGAGGCAGGATCAGCATCCGGATCAGAGCCAGAATCCCGGGAGAAGACCGTCGAAGCCCAGGTTCATAACCTCAAGGTCATCCTTCACTTGAACCGTCCCCAGGAAGACATCATTCCCCGCGAGTACCTCCTCCGGGCGGACCGCACCTGTAATTCACCTCCCCACTCAGTCCCAACCTTGTTCTGACGACGAGAAACATCAAGCTAACTGATATATGACAGCTGCCGTTCAACGCCCTGTCTGGATCTTCCGTGAAGCGGAGGATGGCAGAGAGGTGAACCAGAAAAAGTGGTCGAAGGTCGACATCCGCTTCCGCGGCGTGTTCAAATCGCTCAAGAAAGTCCCTCAGTTCGAGGATGGCGTGTATGAAGAGAACGGTGGAAACGTCAAGAGTCTCCCTACTGGAATGTCGTTCAAGGATTCAGCTAAGGCCCAGTCGTGGGTCGTGTATGCCCTTTTGGACGAGATTCTGAACCTGCTGGATATCAGACAGGAATCGGAGGATGAACACCAGTATTTCTATCTTCGGTAAGTCTCTTCTCTTTCTCCTCCAGGCTGCTCGGAGAAACAATATCTATGATTTGTTAGCCTGATATACTGATCATCTCAACCACAGCCCTCGCCTCCTCGGCTGCAGCATGGAGTACTGGACCGGCTACCGTGTCAAACACAAGGATGCGCCCAACACCGCTGGATGGATTGCTATTGACCATCATCCTGATATCAATGTGGCGCGTTGCATCATGCCAGTGTCTACTGTATGACCTCCCCCCCTCCCCTACCCTACCCTCCCCCCAGCCCTCACCAACCCAACTAACCCCCTCCACCTCCCACCCACCAGACCACAACGCCCACCCAAACCCCCAGCAACGCCCTCGCCACGAACTTCCAACACCTCCTCGGCCAACTCCTAATCCACGTCCTCCGCCTACACCCAGCAGGCGACCAACTCCCGGACCAAGAAATCTTCCTCATCGGCCTGCACGGCTCCAAACTGCACCTCCTCCGGGGCATCTTCCAATCATCCAAAACCTCCCGCGTCTGGTGCGGCCACCACAACACGACCTTCATGGACGGCCTGGAAGCCAACAACCTCGCCACTCTCTACGAAGACCGGTACATGTCCGCCGCACACATGGAACGCTTCGCCGAGCAACTCCACTGGCTCCAACTCTCGCGCGACGAGCCCGAAGCCTCCGCCACCGAAAGCGCCGACCCCAGCGTATTCCGCGTCCTCAGCAGCAAGGAGTACGATCTCTGGCTAAAGGATGAGTTCAAGGACGCGGTGCGTCTGATTTCCGCTCTGGCGATGTATCTGATGAGCGGGCAGGCGCGGTGCGGGATCCTGCAGGAGATCTTTGAGCTTTTCCCGTACGGAACGGGGCTCACCGGCGAGGATAAGTCGGATGGGGTCGCGGAGGAGAGTATCGATGATGAGATCGAGAGGGAGCAGTTGGACTTGTTGTTGCAGGAGATTGAGATCGCGGAGATGGAGGAGAAGAAGGCGCTCAAGGATCGGTTTCTGGCCCAGGCGAGGGATTCGATGCGTGAGACTGCTGTCGATCGTATTGGCGGGCTTCGTGAGTGTCATCATCCCTGGTGGGATTGGGTGTGGGATGATGAGGAGACGGATGGTAAGATGGGGGTCGGTCGGAATTGATTGGGGATGAGGCGTGGTGGATGCGTTTTTCGGTTTTCTTTTTCTTTTTCTTTTCTTTTTCTTTTTTTTTCTTTTGTATGAGTATGCTTCTGGTGTTGGCGAGGGTGGGTAAAGAGTGGTTGGATTGTACGAAACAATGCGCTGGGAAACGCGTTGGCTTGAGAAAGCTATAGGAATCTGGCGAAGCTGAGACGGATGGATGGGTTTGAACGTTGAACGGATTTGGCGACGCTGAGATGGACTGGCATGAGAAAATCGGGCTTGATCGAGTACTTGGGGGTTGTTGGACCTGAGAAAGGCTGAGAATGATGGTGAAGCAGAATGACGAAGATGGGGGAATGGATGGACCTGAGAAAAGTTAATGGCGTTGACGAGGCAGATGGAGGTGTATGTGTATCTAAATTGCAGCAGAGATTGTGGCTTTTCTAATTTTTCTGATGAGGGGAGAGCAAATAGTCCACACAATGTGACTCGAAATTTCCTAGTTACTATACACGTGCGCAGACACCAGTGGTCATTCAGTCTCCGTGGCGTCTTTCAGACTCGAATACCGTGAAGCCGTCAATTCCTCGTCCGTCTTTTCCGCCGGTGCGGAAATACTCGACCACCACGCCAATTGCATAGCATGTCGCTGCCGTGACTGCACCGCCGAAAGCCATCCTGCGTAGTGCTTTGCCGGGTTTGGACTCGGGCTTTGAGCGTTTGGTGTTTGACATGTCAGCATCAGATAATATTGTCTCGTTCGTGGGTGGTGCGTCGGGGAAGTCTTCAGCATCGACCCGGCCTTGTACTCGCGGCAGTTTGCTAGAAGATGGACTTTGTTCCAAGGCTTCCGCCTGGGTTGCGAGACTGCCTTTCACCGCGTGAGCAAGCAGACCAGCATCGTCCTCCACGGACACATGCGTTTTCCTGAAAACAAGAATATCCCCACCACCAGAAACAATCTCATAGCCGTCAGCATGCAATTTTGCAAAATGAGGCAGAAACTTGGCGGGCATGTTCAAGCGACCAAGGACTTCTGCTGGATCCGCAGACTCATTCGGAGTATGGAAAGACGTGCTTGTTTCTGCCTCGCTGACCTCGAGGGTGGTAGGATCATATGCAAGGACTCGATAGAATTCGGTAGACGTGCCATTGGCGAGGGACTTTGCCTTAGCTGTTTGCCCAGAGCATTGGATGGTTTCCTGTTCTTCATTCTGGACATGCACCTTAGAAGTCCCTGGACTTTCTAAGCCCTGCGGGTCTGGCTGTTCCCTCACATCTGAACTCATTGAGCTGGGTTTCTTGACCGCATCTTCTACCTCGTGCTTTTGGAATCTGCTTCGAATGCTCTCAGCATCAATAGTGCCGACAGTGTCAAAATGTGAATCAAACGTAGCATCCAAATCTTTGCGGGATGGCTTCGTCTCAGGGTCTTGACTGAATTTCTTCAAGTAGTAAGGACCCCGGATGTCACTAGCACTCAAGAGATCCAAGTCCTCCTCCCTCTCCATTCGCATCCTGTCAGGCTCTTGTGCCGAGTCCAAGAAGCCTCGAGGGACCTTGGATGAGGGACCAGTATATCCTTGATTACCATACTTGCTCGCCATTGTGTCATTAAAGTGGGTCCCAGGGGTCTTGGTTTGTCCCGGCAGATCCAGCTGCTCATGGATACCGTTATCAATGGCACTTTCTGGCGTCACGGTGTTTTGAGCCTTTGAAGACTCCACTATGATTGCCTCTGGGGGGCCGTCAGCGTCTTCAAAAACACCATTGGAACCCTTGTGGAAGACCGTTGATTGATTTCGAGATTCTTCCTGAGCTGGCGATGATTCATCCTCTTGCACCTCATGCTTTTGGACGTTCTCGTCCGCAACTGGGACTGCAAAACCATCATCTTGCGAAAGGCGTTCCGGGGAAGCTTTCCCACCCACACCTGAGTCTGTGGAATGTTTAACTGGAGACATGTAACCAGCTGGCTGGGGTTGTGATTCTTGAGCTCCCACTGGCGCATCATGAACAGTTCCCTTTCCAGTCTTCCCAGCCACATCGGATTGTGTCAAGTCCCTGAGAATCATACGGCCGCTGATGGGGTCGAACTCGTAGCCTACCCTACTTGAGCTCGCAGGGTTTACACTTGACAGTGTGTCATCGCTGACGATATCTGACTTCGTCATCTTGACAGGAATAGAAAAGCCTCTGGAGGCGGTTGGGGCACTCTTTGAACGCGCTGTCGTATCGATTGCATTCTTCGATTTATCAAGCCCCAAAAACGAACGACAGAGAGAGGTCAGCGTATTGTCAAGCTTCCCAAAGGAGCCAAATAGCCCCAGCCTCCGTCCGAATATCGCCGCGTAAGGATCCTTCTCGATTGCATTGTGGATCTGATTCATTTTCTGCTGCAACCGGGTCCTTTCGGCTTCCCAAAAATCTTTCTTCTGTGCCCTCTCATTTTTAATCTCAAAATACCTGGGCTTGTGGTCGTGCGACTCGCATCCTCGGTTCCACCAGGGATGATGGTGTTCATATACGGTATGTGCTTGTCGCGGAGGTCGAGCTGGTCTGTCGCGCAGCTTCGATAAGTAGAAGCGGTTATGCTTGTCCATTTGTCTCATGAGGTGGTCATAGTTGTGTCGTTCATGTGTGCACCTCCATAGGCGACGGCACTGGAACGAGGACGGGGACTTGAGGAGTCGAGATGAGGAGAAGAGGATGGCGTGAGGACGGTCCCCGGTTAAGGCTGTGGACCACCTGACTGCCCTGATATCTGATACTGCAACTGGATGGATCATGGTCGGGATCCAGATGGTCCAAGTGGTTCGTTGTAGAGGAAACGACAGCTCTCCGATGACGCACGCTGGACCGGGTTGGGACGGCCAGAGCTGTCCTCGGTTACATCACCGGGTCGGGCTAGAGGTCTGAGGTGGGGTGGTAAGTATGATCTTTATTATAACACTAGACAAGCTATGGAGAGTTGAGGGACGATGGACTAGATAAACCGCCAGGGTGAAGTGTGAAGGTTGAAGGGAAGAGAAAGAGGAGAAGAAGAAGAAGAAGAGGAGGAGCGCAGGGCGGGCAGCTGATAAGGCGGAGAGAAGCTCCGGCCAACGCGGGGCTACGCAGTCCAGACCGCCTCCACAAGGGTCACCTATAATACTTACTCTATTCCTCACTCTGATAAATGGATAAAACCCCCTAAAAATCTTTAAGCCACCCCAAGAGCCCAGATAGACTAAAAGTCTTGGATATTTCAAGAAAGAACAAGTTTCAAGACAATCAAATTAATCTATTACGTGTTACGTGATTACTGTTGGCGGTCTCTTACCCGATCTGGCTAGCGAGTGAGTCAGCGGGCTATATACCTCTCTCTCTCTATCCACAATAATCAATCCATCCATTGCCGCGACACACCCCTCTTTCCTACTTTCGTATAGCTTCATTTTCTGCCCATGGGATCCAATGATACCATGCCAAGATGGGGCCGTCGGTCCGGTGAGACGCTTCGGTGGGACGCCTCAGTCACCCAAGTCCATCATCCGGACTAGCACGCAACGATATAAATCCACATGTTGCCCAGGAAAATGGGGCTACTCTAGTATGTCACCAAGTATCCGCATACCCGACTCCCTCAATTACCGAATTGCCAGGGTGCGGCACATCTCAAGATGAATCGCATCATTCTTGTCACAGGAGCCAATCGAGGTAAGCCAAGAACCTCCTCCCAGTCTAGAATATTCCGGGTTTAATGCCGTCTATAGGCATTGGAAAAGGCTTCGTAGCACAATATCTTGCCCAGCCAGATACCACCGTCATTGGAACCGTCCGGGACACCTCATCTGAGAAAGTGCAAGACCTCACCACGCTGCCCAAGGGCCCTGGCTCGGATCTGATTGTCGTGGCGCTTAACGTCGACAACCCGTCCAGCGTTACGGAGGCCGCGTCCGTTCTCCAGACGCAGCATCACATCGAGCACATCGACGTTGTGATTGCCAATGCGGGAATCTGCAACCACTGGGGCCCCGTGCAGGAAATGACGGACTCGGACGTGCTTTCTCACTTTGAAGTAAATGCACTGGGTCCGCTCAGAATGTTCAAAGCCATGGCGTCGTTGTTGCAAAAAGCCAGTGCTCCCAAATTTGTCTATATCTCGACGCTCCTGGCGAGTCTCCAGGCCATTGAGCAGGTCCCTTCGTTGACTACCGCTTATGGGATGTCGAAGGTGGCTGGGAATTTCCTGGTCAAGAAGATTGAGGCTGAGAATAAGCACTTGATCACTTTGTCGATCGATCCGGGGTAGGTTCAAATTCGCACCCTTCGTTCCGTGGAGGCTTAGATGACTGATGCTGGTGGTCTCGTTTGTCAATGATAATAAGCCTTGTTCAAACTGAGATGGGTAGTCGCAATGCGCAGTTGGTTGGGCTTGAGAATGCCCCGGTGACGGTTGAGGATACCGTTCGCGGAATTACAACGCAGGTAGGAAGAAAGTCGATTGCGATGCCCATCCGAGGGTTGCTAATATCTGTCCAGATCGATGCAGCAACGAAGTCAACTACCTCTGGCCAGTTTGTTAACTACAGTGGGGAGAGGGTGCCCTGGTAGACGAGTTCTAAGTAAACAACTTTCCGAGATCTGATTATAGAATTGGCCCAGTAGACAAGAATCCGTTTCTAGACAGTAATGATTCTAGCATACAGCATATTAACAATAACGTTACTAACATTATGAAGTACTGCAATGAAGGTCATAGCCAGGTTAAGACCATCCTCAATCATCAGGTCACAAACTTGTCGGATTAGGGTATGTATCCCCGGCAACAATTCAACGACGAGAGCCTACAGCAAGCAAACAGGGTCGTAGGCCTGTTGGATTGACGAATGTTGAGCAGGCTTGGGCCTTTAGTAGTGAAGCATCTCGCGAACTACAAACGCCCAACTCCATTCATTTCCCCCGATAAAGCCAAGCACATTTCCGATAGCCATCTCGCATCCTTTTAATCAACACAGCTAAGAATGAATGAATGGGCCGCAAACCTATGCGGGCCTCTTCCCTTGGTCAACGAGAACCTCTTCTGCCATTTTTCTCAGTTTATTCAAGTCCAGGGAGAGGATTTGGGTTGGATTTTGCGTTCTTGTGGCAGAAGACTTGTAAATCTGATGCTTCGTAAATTCGATACGGTCATTGGGATGGCTAGGCTCGGGAAATATCGCCTAAGCTCGAGACGTGAGTAATTTTCCAATATAAAAATTAGAAAGATACTGACTTTCTCTTCCACTTCTAGGCCCCCTCGCCCGTCTCGCCTCCACACCTCGATATCTCCTTTGACGCGTCCTCGGGCCTGCCGCGTCCATTTCAGTAATATCACCATTTCGACGAGAGGTTTTCCGATCATCCATAACTCCTTATCGGCCCTCAAAAGGGGGAAACTTTCGGCCCATCCGGATTCAATAATCATAGCCGGGGGGGCGGTGCCACCGGCACGCATATACAGATCTGGCTGCTTAACTGACCCTATATATCTTCCAGTGAAGTCCCTGAATGCTAAAAAATATAAGTAATAAGATACGCTAACAGAAGCATATAGTACATACTCGTTCCCACTCCAATAGACAGCTCGTCGTACTCATCCTCGGATAGGAGACCATCTGCGAGCCAGTGTCCGGAAGCGTTTATGACCCAGCGTTGATGGACATCATGAAGTTTCGTTGTCATCAGGACAACCCGAATAGTACGTGTGCATGTGTTGTATCCTAGGCTATTATTATGAGTATGAGTATGAGTATGAATCAAAGAAAAGTGAAGGGCGGTTTATATATACCGGCAAGATGACTTTTCTACGTGCTTGCAGTCCTCCAAGAATCTGCAAACTAAGGCACCGTGCTCGGGTTCGATATTCGTATAGACCAACTCCTTGAATCCCTGTGTACGGGCCAGTTCGTGGAGAATGTCTGCAAAAACTTCCTTGGCAGAGACGGGGGGCTGATCCTCACGGCCGGGGTTTCTGAGGTTTCGTGAGCCGTTGTCTTCTAGGGACTGCGGGAGACTTGTTGGCAGGGACATGGTGTGATGCAGTGTGGGAAGAACTGAAAAGTAGGAAGGTGGGCAGGTAGGTATCCAGATAGTAGGTGAAGGAACAGAAGAAGGGCAGTGTGCAGGTGGGCCGAAGATATAGTAGTACAAAAGCGGAAGGAAGTCCCGGCCGTTACTTTATCGTAGGTAGGTCATTATTACGGAGTACTGACTTTTCCCCCTAGTTATCCGTAAGGGCTACCGATAGCTTGTTTGTACTGGTGTAGTTTTATGAAGTTATTCGATAAAGGAACATCTGAAGTTGTTGTTGTTCTACATACAGAATGAGGAGGGGAAAATGGGTGTCCTTGATGCCTTTTGGGTCCGAATACTTGGCAAGACGTGCAACGACTTGCAATATCTCACGATGGTTTCGTACCGGCACGGCCAGTAGCAACGGCCAATGGTTCTTGCCATGGTCATCTTTACAGCAAAATGTCAACAAACACTTCGACCACTGACCGCCACGCTCTTTATAGAATAGATCCTCGCCATTTGGTCGAAACCTGGAAGCAAAAGCTTTGTCCTCGATGGGGCTCGCGAGTCTCATCACAATAGCACTGTACCACTCCGTGTTGCCATACTTCTCCATGCGCTCGTCGGGAAATTCATCTTCGTCGGTAGACTGATCCGGGTCAGTTTCCGAAGTCATGAAGGGGGGGTTTAATCATGCGAGAAGACATAACCCGGTTGGGATTGACTTCTTAGATGGTAGGTAATCCATAGTAAATCATAGATCAATTTTACTTGCTGATCGTGATCTCACTATCGTAATCGTTAGGCGTGAAATTGCTGTCCGACAGGCACGGACTCTATATAAGACTGTCTTCTATGCCAATCCTGGAGATGCCCAGACTATCCACATCGGGCGACTCGGGGCTGGATGTAATGTAGTTGAACCAAAACCGGAGACCTTCAATGCCTTGCTCTCGGCAGAGGATGCCCTTGTCTTCTGCCATTTCCAATTCTTCCGCTGCAACGCCTACACTCCACTTGAATCGCTGGGCTGCCTCTTGCGCGGTCACGCCGCGCCCGAGCAGATGCCAGTCCCAGGCCACCGGCTCGTTTGGTGGCACTTGTCGCAGCTCGGCCATCCAGTCTAGCAACTGCTGAAGGGTCTTCTCGTCACTCCAGTCGTATCGCTGGACAACGAGTAGTCCACTCTTGAAGCGGCGGAGACGGACGGGTAGCTTCAGTTTCTCCCATAGTTCCGCAGCTTTCTGGAAGTCTGAAGGACTGACGAGCTCGACGCCATTGCGGGACCGGTTGAAGAGGGCCCAAAGATCAATGAGACTGATGATGCCGCCTTCTTTGTACAAGATGCCTGTCCGATCATCGGTAAGGTACTCTGCCAAGTTCCGAGAGAGCTCCGAGAGGTATAGGCTCTCAGCCCCGGATCCAAGCATGTCTTTCGTCGTCACCATGCCCAACGCTGCTGCGGACTCTGAAAGAACGGCGCTGGTCTCTGCAGAGCTTCCGCCGCTAGCCATGCCTGACTCTCGGGCCAGTGTTTCAGCAAGCGCAACGATCTGCTTGGCAGATGCCATGAGCGCCTCGAGATCCTCGAATGCGTTGCCGATGACGAGCTCGTTGTTTTTGCGGGCCTCGAGACCTCGCCGCTCAAGGCCTGCAATACCCACCCCGGGGGAGCGGGATTGCGGTATAGAGCCAGTCGTCGGTGCAGACACATTCAAGCCCGGGGAGGTGGAGCTTGATGGTTGCTGCGGCACGGGCGGAGCATTGTAGAGCAGCCATTTTCTCTGGATCAAAGCACCCTTCAGTCTTTCGTGGAATATCTTTTCCCCACCTCCACGGAAAGACAGTTTCACGCTGTCCTTAATCTGAGTGCTCTTTATACTCCCTTGATCAAAAAGAGGCGCGGGAGATTCCGCACGGTGTTGATCGCCATTGGTGGCCCTCAGAGCACTCGCAGAGACCAAGGAGGCACCACAGATCTCACATTCTATAAGGGAAGGATGATTTACAAAAGTACACCGAGGGCATGAAACCTGAGGGCCACCTGGTGAAAGTGATGCGCTCTTCGGAGCGTTGCTCTGAGGCGAGTACTCATTCCCAGGCTGCGACACGGCTGGGGTTGTCAACGGGCTATCGCGACTGGTCGCAGCAGTGATAGCGGCCTTGAGAATCGTCGCGAAGGGAGGTTTGATGCCACACGCTAGACAAGGAGGTATCGGAGTGGCTGCAGTAGCCGTGGATGGGTCGAAATTGGAGGGCACGGGGTTAGAGAACGAGCATATGGGGCAGATCCAGGTCGCATTGATAGGCGTAGGAGGGGCCGGGTTGAACTGTGGCACCAAAGTTGGGGTCAGGGGAGACTGCGATCGCGATGGACTTGCGCCAGCGCTCTTCGACCGGTCGAGTGTGTTCTTGAGCGGCTTGGGATATAAGGTGATCTTTGGGGACGACTTCAAGAAGCCTGCCTAGAGCGGATAAGACAGGGGCCGATGTGCATTGTCCGAGCAACTCACGTACTTGGTAGTCCGCCCTGTCGATGTCTTTCAGGTCGATCCCGACCGAGTATCTCCGCGGCTCATCCGCCGCCACATAACAGACTCGATGCGAGGTCAGATAGGCATGACCATTTTGGTAATTGGGGATTTTGTATTTCCTACACCCGGAGGCACATTACTATCAGGTCAGATAATCACATTGACATCCAGTGTCCAGTGTCCAGTGTCCAAGGGAAGAGAGGGAGAGAGGATGTGACGTGGAGGTGAGACTGGATCAACGAATGACCAGAACGGAGCAAGTAACAGCAGGCTACTCACCCTTCGTACAACCCCACGGCATCCTGGACAAAGAGCAAGGTCTCATCGGGCAACAGTGAGGGGCGCAGAGCAGTGGTGAGATCCAGAGGCTTGAAAAACATCTAGCCCAGGCGAGCAGCACCTCTTCACTGTTGGAATGTGAAGAGGGGCAGAGCAGTTGTATGGCGGTTGATTGACGATACCTTAGCGGGTGCCTCGTATTGCGGGCAGCCGTTACGTTATCAGTCAGTCCGGCCGGGGCTCGGCTGGATGCAGCAGGCGGTCAGGCTCGGCCCAGCCAAACAAGGGGAGGAAATCTCCCTCCGCCACCGAAGTAAGCGAACTTCTCCTCTCCTCGGTTGGTCATCATCGTTATTCCTCCCCCCCCCCTTCTCGGTCTCATCTCTTCAAGACATCCCCGCTGGACATATACCTCGACTCAAACTGTTTCTTTGATCTCTTTAGAAGCCAGCCGATCTGCATTTCTTTGTCCATACCCCCCCCCTCGCAAAGCACAAGACCTGTCCTGCTCTGTTGCTATAGGAATGATATTTTAATCGTCTTCCTCGAATCAAACAACCCGTAGTTCTTCTATTCTTTTCTGATCGTCCTCATCGTTATATTTCTTTCAATTTCCCGTGACTAGAGCACCTGTCGCTATGAGTTCTGGTATTCCGCCGTGGCGTGCCACCGCGTCAGCCACTGCTACAACCTCACTGCCTTCCTCACATGGTACGCTTCCCCCATTGACGTTGACCAGTCGTGTGTGCATCTCAGGACCAGTGCTAACCGCCAGAACAGCAGCCCCAGCGTATATTCCCGTTCAAGCACGCCGTAGTCTCACCACAAAGGCACCGAAGCCAGTCCCCTCATCCGCCTCCACGCCATCGACAGCCGCCGAAGCGGCCGACCGCAAACGAGTAGACTTTCCAGAGGCGGTTCGCAAGTATGTGCAACGCAGCTTTGCGCCTGAACACCGACTTCCCGGCGTCGAGCGAAGCGAAATGGAGACCAAGCTCAAGACAATCATCACAGAGGCAGCGGAGGGTAATCTGCTCGACAAGATCGACTGGGAGACCCTGCCTCTGCCACAGGTCATGGTCCAGAACGACCGCAACCGGGTTCTAGCCAGTCCCAGTGTGTCGTCATGGGGTGTGTTCGGCACCGCCTCGCCCAAGAAGCCCGCCGCCGCCGTGGACGACCCGTCCAAGAAAAGGAAGTCGGTTGAGTACCAAGGGGACGCGAACAGCTGTCCGCCGTGGAGACAAACTAACAGCCAGAATGCCTTTGAAGATCGAATCACTTATCCATCCACAGACAAGCGGCAGAAGATTGACATGAAGAACACAAGTAAGTCCAAAGCTAATCTGGAAATGCGGAGGAAACGTTTCGAGGATCCCCAAGCCCGCCATGGATCTTCCCCGTCGTCTCGCGGTGACTCGCCCGCCCCCAGTGCAGACCAAGGCCCTGTGGTCGGACGGTGCCAGAACCTAGAGAAGAACTACTTCCGCTTGACGTCCGCCCCGAACCCCGACACGGTCCGTCCGTTGCCGGTGTTGATGAAGACGTTGGACCTGCTGAAGAAGAAGTGGAAGAAAGACAACAACTATGGCTACATCTGTGATCAGTTCAAATCGTTGCGCCAGGATCTGACGGTGCAGCACATCCGGAACGAGTTTACCGTCAGCGTCTATGAGATCCATGCCCGGATTGCCCTGGAGAAAGGAGACCTCGGTGAGTATAATCAGTGCCAGACTCAACTACGGGCGTTGTACGCACAGCAACTCGGTGGACATCCTACGGAGTTCCGGGCCTATCGTATCCTCTATTTCATCCACACCCGCAACTGGACGGCCATGAACGATGCGTTGGCCGATCTAACCGCAGCAGACAAACGGGATCCTGCTGTGAAGCATGCTTTGGACGTCCGGTCCGCCCTTGCCCTTGGAAACTACCACCGCTTCTTCCAGCTGTATCTCGATACCCCCAACATGGGGGCTTACCTCATGGACATGTTCGTGGATCGTGAGCGACTTTCTGCGCTGGCGGCCATCTGTAAAGCGTGAGTTCCTCCATGGTTCCCGTGCATGAACACCGGCTGACATTCCTGGTTACAGATACAAACCTGATGTAAAGATTCGTTTTATTACTGAAGAACTTGGTTTCGAGTCCGACGAGCAGAGCGCACACTTCATTCTGGATCATACAGCGGAGGATATGCTCCAAGAGAAAGATGGAGTCGTGAGACTGCTTACGAGCGGCAAGGCCGGGCAACTGTTCGAAGGAGCCAAGGCCGACGCTCACCGGGTCGTCGATATCAAGGGACAAATATAAGTTCCGTATCTCTTGATTATTTCATTAATTCACTCACTCCCCTTTGCACCGTCCGACTACCCCCACCTAACCTGACTGGGCTGGATCCCCCAGTCCCATTCACCCTTCTGGATACTGTTTAGCCTTCAGCATCTTTTCCCTGTTCATTTTCATCTTCACTAAAACGGCGCCTGGAGTTCCTTCTTTCGCCTGTTCGAGTCCTTCTGGCATTAGAGGCGTCCGGCATTGACTGCCGTGGTTTGAGGAGATCTATACCCATTCCGACTCCCTGAATAAAAGTGGTTATGCTGCATCTGTTTTGCACAAAATATCTATTCCGATGGAAGGCTTAGTGGGTATGGATAGCAAGGCATGTAACTTTTGGTTTGATGTTTTGATGCTGTTATTTTTTTTTCTTTTCGGTAGCGCAGTTAATATGATGATTATTGAAGACTTTTGACTTTTGACTATCGTAGACAAAGTCATGACCTAGTAGTGTAGCTTCCAAGCTCGGACTCAAGTGTTCCTTTTTTCTAAGTACTTTGTGGGGAGAAAAGAAAATGTTTGATGTCTCACTATCATTCCACTGCGCGATTGTTATCCCGCAGTCATCAGTCAACACTGGTCTGGTAGGTACATATCTAGATAGTCAGTAGATAGATTCACCCGATCTGTCCGTCCATGTCATGTCATGCCGTCCGTGAATGGTCCTCCCTCCGTATCACCGCGGACGTAACCAAACGAACACCTCTCTCTATCTACTTGATACAGCGGAAACACAAGGAGGGGTCATCTCATCAAACATGCCGCCCCATCTGTAGGTAGTGGACGAAGTACAAAGTACGAAGTATGGAGTATCTACTGTGCACGAGCATAGAGTAGTTAATCCATCCATCCATCGCCCGTTAAATAACTGATATATACCTACCTGAGGTCTAGACCCAGCTTTTTCAACCGTCAGACTCATCTTATGCATAGCCCAGACATGGATAGGTAGGACGTGGTGGGTACGGAGTACTGATCACAATACTCCAAGTCTCAGATGGATGGATAGATAGAGAGAAGTAGATACGTAGTACAGTAGGTAGATACTGAAACACCACCCACATATAATCCCCGCATTAGACCCATAGCCAAACGATCGGTCGGTAGATCGATCGATCGATTGATCTCCATGCATCATGCCAGCAAGCAGGTGTGGACGTGGTGGGTAGACAGATACGTAACTACATACTGTTAGTCAGTAAAGTACTTCCATGGCATGATGGATGATATCACACTGGTAAGGTACGGTGTGATATAATGATATAATGTGATATGATCGGATCGGATCGGAGGGGAGGATAGAAAGAGTAATTAAGTACTAGGTATCGTATCAGGTATCAGGTACAGCGGCAGATTGATCATAGAGGGGTACTTAGGTACAGGAGATACTAGTTAGGTATGTAGGTACTCGATAGCTGGGATAATCCATGCAGATGGCAGCTGCCGTGGCCGCATGATATATCAGATTCGGGAGGGAGAATACTAAGTACTCAGTACTCGACTCGGGGTGACAGCTGCGGTGATGGATGGGCGATGGTTTGGGTGGTCGGAGTGGAATGGATTGTATGGATTACCTTATATGGGAGAATACTCCGGCAATGTGGTAGAGTGGTAGAGTCGCTGAGATTACTATCTAGCTACGAGCTACATTATAGTACTTGAGAGTGAGTGAGTGGGGTAGTAGTTGGAGAGAGTGGATTCGTCAGATGCTCATGCAGGAGATGTTATTACGATGGAATGGATCTGGTGAGGGGCTCTCGATCTGTCTATCAGATGTACAAAGTACCAGAGCTACAAAGTACGTATGTATGTACTGATGGATGGATCAACAGGATCAAAGATACTGTTTCATCTGCCTTGCCTGGGTTGATCCATACATCCTGATCTGAGCCCAGCTCCAGCTCTGACCTGACTCCTCCATGGATCCCCACCAAGATACATACATACATACATACATCTCCACCCACCCACCCTGTAAGCTGGCAGTAGATAGATAGATAGGGCAAGTGGCAAAAATTGCCATGATCAGCACGCTTATCCAGCCAAGCTGCAGCCCAGAGACTAACTAGTGAGACGTTTATCGACTCTATCTGAAATCTTAATCGCTGGGACACACGCTTGTTTCCACCCCCGCGTCGTGGCGGTGCGGCGGAGTTTGATGTGCAGGGTAAAGGTTTCGGGAGGGGGAGTATACTTTGTAGATGTACGACGTGCAGAGACTAGACAGTATCTAGTATGATGAGGTAAAAGAGAGGTCGGGCTGTTGGTGGCTCTGCCCTGCCCTGTCCTGCTTTGCCTTACCTGGGAAGGAAAGGTATCTGCGGTGAGTTGTTTGGGAGGGTTGGGTTGGGTTGGGTTGGGTAGGGTTGGGTAGTGAGGGTACTGGGTACTGGGTTCAGGATCCATGGATGATGTACTTCCGGCACATGTTGTACCACACAACAGTATACATATGTATGCGCTACTGTAGGTACTGTGAGTCTGTGACAGGGGAGGGGGGAAAGACCAATGCTCCCATTTGGATAATGGTACCGTCGAGGGCACAGTTCGGGTTCAGGCTGTTGTCATGGCGAAGTCGTCAGCGTCCCTTGCAGACCGCGGTTAACCACAGTAAAGATACTTAGACTAATGCTCAGTCAGGCTGCAATGCGACCACCTCTTCTCATTGGGATCCGAACTAGGACAGCTTCAGAGAGAGAGAGACCCTCTCTGCCGATCACGGCGACTGCAGAAGGTCTGGTTGGATGGGACTCAGCCAAACCATGGGATTCAGGGGAGGGCTCAAGCCTAAAGGTTTCCCCGTCCGAGCTTCTGCAGAATTTCGGGCTCGGGGGAGGAGGGTCGATACGAGGCAAGTCATATCCGATAAGGTTGCTGAAAATTGAGGACCGTTCGTGCCATCGTGAGCAGCGGATGAATATTGCGATGGACATGATATGATATGATGCTTGCTCTATCTACTTCCGGAACCCTCCGTCTCTCTCGTCCTCAAACCACCGCCGGAGCTGCCATCTGAATCGGTCCGCCACTCCGCCGGCAATTGGCAGCCACAGCCCTCTGCTAATTAAACGATAGCAGCACACAGACCACCCGCCGACCACCCAGAGTCAGTGACCCAAACTCAAGTCCGGTTCTCTCAGCGATGGGCAACCCCAAACCCACCTCGGCTTCCGCCCAGCCCAATCGTTCCTCGTGCGGCCCCCTCACAACTCAGGTACGCTGGACCTTCATACGTACGGCGTCCCCAGCCCGTCCCTAGGGTTACTGGCGTCTGGACCGTGGCCTCCTGCACTGCCAAAGTTTGGTACGCGGCGAAGCCATGTTTTTTTTTTTTTTTTATTATTGCCTTGCTTCTATTATATTCGCACATTCGGCCGATTCCTGACTCTTATCATCTCCTATGTGCGGCACGGTTCTCCGTTCCCTGGTCTATCGATCGGCCGCTCCCAGCTGGATGGCGCCGGTCTCTATACTTATACAGGCTAAATCGAATGGGGGGAGGGAACCCCTGGTGCCCAACTGTGCCCGGAGGGGAGGGAAGGGGGGGGGGGGGGAAGGAGGAGGAAAGAACCCACAGGAAAGAAAGGGGAATGGAGGAATCAAGAGAAAATAGAGAGAAAAAAAAGTGAGACAGAAATGACCAAAAAAAAAAAGAAAAGAAATAAACCCCCTCTCTTCTCCAAGTCAGGGAGGGATATGATAGCACCACCACCACCACCACCACCACCACCACTACCAGCAGGGCTGGAAGGGAAAACGAACTAAGGAGTCTCACGTACGTCCCTAGTGCCTTAGCGTCCAACCAGGGTGGAAATGGCAGTCATACCTTACGCGGTGCATCCATGCAGACGGCCGGGGAGCAGTTCCCGGTGCTTGACTGGTGAGAAGACTAAATAAAGGATTTTTAGGCACACAATGGCGGCCACAGCTGGGCTGGGACTCGAAGAAAGAAAGAAACGAAACCCCCCCCCCCCCTTTCTCAAGATTGGGTTGGTGTTTGGGATGAGGGCTGATCTTTTCGGGGGATGATGTTAGGTTATATTGTGCTGGTCTGGCGCTGTTGTTCGAGATTGTAGAGAGAAAGAGAGAGAGCGAGAGATAGAGAGTACAAAGTATCTCGCGTGTGCATCCCAATTTCTCGTGGAGACTCCCGTGCCCTTGAAGACTCCATTGACATCATCCTCACCATCATCCGATTCGAGATTGTCGTCACTGCCTCCGGCTACTAGTACGGTATAACTGCTAGTCTAAGTCCCCTTAGATAAAAAAAAAAAAAAGAAGAGACCAGAAAACGGCGCATTGAGTCAGAAACGAGCGATCGGCTTCAACGTCTATCACGATCGACTGCACGAATCGGACATTGCCTTCCGTTGTTGGTAAGGTAAAGTATTCGATGTACGGAGGACCTGCGGTTGTTACTTGAGGTGGTATCTACTTAGATATCAATCTACTATCAATCACTACATATCATCATCATCATCATCATCACCACCACCACCTCCTCCTCCTCCTCCTCCTCCTTTATCTATCTACTTTGTCCCAGTCTCCCGGTTATTCCATTTCTCCTCAGAGACTCTCTATCTTACTCCACCAGTGACAAGACTCTCCACCCCCCAACCCAAGGGCTGCTGGCGTACCCGCCACAGCTGAACCATCCACCATCCACCATCTCCCAACCCCACGACGCCGACGGTCCATGCCATCCGGCCACTAATCCACCACGCCTTCTTTGGGTCGCAGCCACCACCTTACTCAGTACCTACTCACCATCTCACTGCCACCCGACTTTTTCTCTTCCTTCCCCCCTCTCCCTGTTTCTTTCTGCTTTGAATCCTCGTCGCAAGGAGGAGGCGAACCCCAGCCAACAGTCAAAGGGAAAAAAAAAAAAAACCACCCCTCCCCACCCTTATTCCCGCCCGGGAAGGTGGTTTCCACTTTCCAGAACACCATCGGCCAACCCTTGGAACCTTCTTCAGCCGAGCTGTCACGCGTGGATCCTCGTCATTGCCCAGCGATCACACCTCCTCAGGGGCGGGGGACACCAAAGGAAAGCGGGCCACTTTCTTTTTCAGTCGTTGCGACTCGCAATCCAGAACTCCCCAGTCCCCATACTGCGGACTCCATCCGGCGTCCAGGTTCACCCGTGGTAATCCTGCGCTGCGCAAGACGCAAGAGGGCGGAATACAAGGAAGGAAGGAAGGAAGAATCAGCGAACACAGGGCGAAAATAGGAGGTTGACGTTGCGTTATCACGGCCTGGTCCCTTCACCACTGCAGTGTGATTGATTGCCATTCTATTCTTATACATATCTACCCGGTCGTCGTCTTCGCCGCCGCCGCTGTCGTCGCTGACAGCCGTTCATTCCATTCATTCCTCCCCCTCCGTTGCCCCCCCTCCCCCTCCTACTCTACGCTCTCTCTTTCCGTCTGTCTCTCTCTCTCTCTCTCTCCTCCCCTCGCCCTTCTCCATATTAATATCGCTCGCTCTCTTTGTCCCCGGCTTGTGCCACTCTCCAACGCTCCTTCATTGTTCTCGGGTTTTAGAGTTTTCCCATTTTTTCTTCTTTTCTTCTTTTCGCCTTCCTTTTTTGCCTCTTTCGTCTGGACGGCCACTCGGATTGCCGCCCACCCAGTATTTCCATTCCTTGTTTTTTTGGACCATTCCGGGCCCCATCCCCGGTCTGCTTTTCGTGGCCATTTCGACGGGGTGGCTGATATACTTACTTCCTGGACTTACTATTGCTACACCTACCTACTACTACCTACTATTCACCACCGCTGCAGGTCGCCATTAAAACAAACCCTACCCTACCCTAACTATCTGACCTGCCTTGCGCCGTTGGGCCTCCCGACCACCACCTGCCGGCGCGCGGCCTGCTAGTCTCGCCTGAAGGAGAATGAAGGTATGCCCATCTGTCGCTCTGAAACCGACTGCCCTTAACGCCCCTCGTTTCCCGCCCCTCGTTTATCTCGATTGTCGCTTGTTCGACACTTCCGGCACCACCACCGAAAAATTAGCCCGGTCTTGGCCCGCCCCGGCTGAATTTAGTGGTGGTCGCGGTTGTGGTTGTGGTTGTGTTGTGGTGGTCCAGATGGATTGATGGATTGTTATTATTGATTGATTGATCGAGCTAACTCCAACACCGCCCATCTCGTAGGCCATTCGTCGCTCTCTCAAAGGGGAGAAAGATCCCAAACCCCACCACCACCATCACCACCATCATTCCTCCCACCTCTCCATCACCCCCAAGTCCGCCATTGCCATCCTTCCACCTAAGAAGGTATGTCTAAACCCTTTTGTTTCTGTGCCCCCCCCCCGTTGATTTTCCTCCCTTTCCCCACGTCCACGCTCACGCCCACGCCCACGTCCACTTCCCCAAGTCTATTATTCTTCCCACCACATCCACTCACTCTCTTTATGCCTCGTCACCCTGTCTTGCATCCTTTCGTCTCCCCCTCCCCCCCTCCTCTCCCCCATCCCCCCTTTTTTACCCCTCCTTTTTTTCCCACTGTTCGGTCCTTGACTTGCCCTCGGGTCGTACTTGATCGCTTGCGTGTTCCTCCCTCCTTGGTGAACCAGTTTGTTGACCATATCCCTGTCCTGCGCGTAGGTCATCAAAGCGCTCTACGACTACCAACCAGAGCCCGGGAACTCGCAGGAGCTCGCGTTCAGCAAGGGAGACTTCTTTCACGTTATCAGCAGGGAGGACGACTTGGATTGGTACGAAGCGTGCAATCCACTCATCCCTAGTGCTAGGGGGTTGGTGCCCGTGTCCTTCTTCGAGGTGATTGGCAAGAACGGAAGAGATAGCGCCGGATCGGTGGACTTTCAAAAGAAAAAAGAGCCGCACGACTCGGGCTTCTCCGATCGCGCTGCGTTCCCTACCTCAGACTTCTTCCATACCGTCTCGCGAAACAGCTTCCAGCCCAGGATGTCCGCGCTGGCCAAGAACTCCTCCAGCAGCCCCATGGTCTACGGCATCGTCCAGTACGATTTCCAGGCCGAGCGACCGGATGAACTCGACGCCAAGGCCGGCGAGGCGATCATCGTCATCGCCCAGTCCAACCCCGAATGGTTTGTCGCCAAACCCATCGGTCGCTTGGGAGGCCCTGGCCTCATCCCCGTCTCCTTCATCGAACTCCACGACATGCAGACCGGCCAGGCCGTGACCGACCCGCTGGATGCTGTGAGGCGCGCCGGCGTGCCCAAGGTGGAGGAGTGGAAGAAGATGACGGCCGAATACAAGAACAGCAGCATCACTCTGGGCAAGATCGACTCCGCCGGCGGCTCGTCCATGTCGTCCAACACGTCGGGCGCTGACAAGATGTCGGTCGGTCGGCAGAGCGCCATGAGCCAGAATGGCCAACCTTATGTGAGTGCTCTCCCGCATTGGCAGTGGGCACGCATCCTGGTACTAATCCGCCATGCGCTAGGCCTACCACAATCGCAACGCTAGCAAAGGCTCCCTTGTGCAACAGGTCTCTCACCAATCCCAGCAAAGCTACCACCAACCGTTCATGGCGCCGGTCACGGCGTCGATCCCCAGATACTGCTTTGACAATGACAAGTACTGGTACATCATCGAAGCGAAGATGGAGGACGGCCGATGCTGGGAACTGTCGCGCTATTACCACGACTTCTACGATTTCCAGATCGCCCTCCTGACCCAGTTCGAGGAGGAAGCCGGCAACCGGGGCAAACCGCGCACGCTCCCGTACATGCCGGGGCCCGTCACCCACGTCACGGACGCGATTTCCAACGGTCGCCGCCAAAGCCTGGACGATTACATCAAAAAGCTCCTCTCGATGCCCCCGCACATCTCCCGCTGCCAACTCGTCCGCCAGCTGTTCGCACCCCGGGCCGGCGACTTCGAGATCGACCCGAGCGCATTTGGGGAAGACGCCCGGTTTTCGGGCGGGTCGCATCACTCGTCTGCCCACGAGCCGTCTCAGAGCGTGTCCCGGCAATCCTCACAGGCTCCGATCGCAGTCCACGCGGACCGCAACTCCCACCAACGCGGGCAGGCATCCCTCTCGCTCACGAACGGCGGCGGCCCGCCGCCGATGAACCGGCAAGCCAGCTCGATCACGCAGGTCTCGACGGCCTCGAGCGGCGGGGCGATGAAGGTCAAGGTGTTCTTCCAGGACGACCTCATTGCCATCCGGGTGCCCAGCGACATCAGCCTCCAGCAGCTGCGGGAGAAGCTGACGGACCGGCTGAAGATCCAGGACGAGATCGTGGTGCAGTACAAGGACGAGCCGTCCGGGACGTACGTGGACCTGGTCACGGACAGCGACCTGGACACGGCGATCCAACGAAACTCCAAGCTCACATTATATGTTGGACTTGCATAGAAGCGTGTGATTTTTTTTTCCCGTCTATATCCCGATAGATCTGTCTGTCATTTTATGTCTCATTTGTTTTGTGCCTTCAAGGGTGGCGGCCCGAGCGACTCGGGCCTCCCGGTGTATTGGTGTTCTGGAATTCCTTTTCTGTTGTCTTGGACATCATCCTCTGAGCGGTTGTTATTGAATCACGAGGTTGATGCAGGGACAAGAATGATATGCCTGAAACGTTTACGCCATCATGTACCCTTTCGTTGTTCTGGTTCTGGTTCTGGTTCTGCATTGTCTGTGTTCTCTGGGCCATGGCTGATTGGTTTTCTCCATACCCTTGTTGTGTGATGCACTGTTGTCCTCTGTACATAAGTCTTCTCCTGCATATATATTCACCCACGGTAGGTAGGCTTCTACACCTACTGCTTTTGACTGCTTTCCGCGGCCCATGGCCTAGTAGCGTAGCCTGGTGGCCTCGTGGCCTCGTGGCCTAGTGGCCTAGTGAACTACTCCAATTCCGGTTCCGGCCATGTGACGGGTGGCGTAGAACCATTTTCATTTCCTGGTCAATCTTGAGTGGATGGCCACGTTGTAGCGACCTTAATTTGTGGATTTCCTCGGCCGCAGATCTGGCGCCGACGGATTGCCGGGGCCGAGTCACATGACGGCGGGCGGTTCCTTTTCGCCGCGGAGTTCAGGCGCTTCCGGTTAGATATCGTCTGGTCTTTCGCTTCTCTCCTCTCCTCTCCCTTCCCTTGTCTCTCTCGATCATTCAACCCGTTCAGTCGGTCTGTATATATTTCCCAGCGACGTCGTCTACTTCTCGTCCGGTGTCCTCTCCCCCACACTCCCCCCCCCTCTCCCCCTTATCCGCCGATCCTTACCGGCCAACCAACAACCTCGGGTCTGGTGTTTGTCTGTCTATCTCACCACCGCAACGCCCCGTTTCCGCACGCACGCGCAACAAAACCGCCTTTGTCCAGCACAAGCCAATCCCTATGAGTGGATCCTCTGCGAGACTGTGCGCCGACTACCTGCCCGGCGCACTGCGCACTCGGGGGCCGATCCTGCGCGCCGTTCCTCGGGGAACTCGCCGATCGGCTATCAGGGAGTATAAGCGGGGGGTTCATGGCGCAAATGGCTCCCACGCTCGTCCGTCGATAACGGCTCGCGCCTGCGACCGGGTAGATGTACGAGCTTCCCAGAGTGTCTATGCGCGCCGCTTTGCGACTGCCGCCGAGGGCACCAGTGTCCAGGAGGCCGAGGCCGAGGGCGATGCTGCAGCTGGGCTGCAGGGCGGTCCGTTGAGGGAGTATGACCTTCGCGTCCAGCAGGGTCGCTTGCGGGATGATCCGTATCAGAGACGTATGTTTCTTTCTTTCTTTCTTCCTTCTTCCTGTGCTGTTTCCAGTTGTCGACTGGTAGCGATGCGAACATTTATGCTAACGAACGGCCTCCGCTGCAGAAATCATCGAGCAACTCCAGGACCTATACCAAAGACTGACATCCTACACGCCTCCTCCCGTCGTCCAGCCCGCCGTGGAATCGCTCGACGCAAAGCCCAAGGGCTCGTTCTTCGGCTCGCTGTTCGGACGCAGCAGCGCCAAGCAGGCGCTGACCATCCCCGAGTCCCTCCCCAAGGGCCTATACATGTATGGCGACGTCGGCTGCGGCAAGACCATGCTCATGGACCTGTTCTACGAGACCCTGCCGCCCAACATCTCCAGCAAGAACCGTATCCACTTCCACAACTTCATGCAGGACGTCCACCGCCGCATGCACGTCGTCAAGATGAAATACGGCAACGACTTCGATGCCCTCCCCCTCGTCGCGGCTGATATTGCTTCGCGGTCCAGCGTGCTGTGCTTCGATGAGTTCCAGTGCACCGATGTCGCGGACGCCATGATCCTCCGAAGGTATATACACACATCTCCACCCCGAGTAACCAGTCCCGTCTAACCATCCACCCTTTTCCTATCATCTCAGACTCCTCGAATCCCTCATGTCCCACGGCGTCGTCCTCGTCACCACCTCCAACCGGCACCCCAACGACCTGTACAAAAACGGCATCCAGCGCGAATCCTTCATCCCATGCATCAACCTCCTCCAAACCGCCCTAGCCGTGATAAACCTCAACTCCCCAACCGACTACCGCAAGATCCCCCGCCCCCCAGCCGCCGTTTACCACCACCCGCTAGGCCCGGACGCCACCGCCCACGCCCAGAAATGGTTCGACTTCCTGGGCGACCCCATCAACGACCCCCCGCACCCAGCCACTCAGGAGGTCTGGGGCCGCAAGATCGACGTCCCCCGCGCCAGCGGAAAAGCCGCCCAGTTCACCTTCCAGCAGTTGATCGGGAGTGCTACCGGCGCGGCGGATTACCTGGAATTGGTCAGGAATTATGACGCCTTCGTTATTACGGATGTGCCCGGCATGGACCTGCACCAGAGGGATTTGGCCCGCAGGTTTATTACCTTTATTGATGCCGTTTATGAGAGTCGGGTTCGTTCTTCTTTCCCCCCTCCCTATTCCTCCTTCCCCCATTATCCCCAAAGCCATCCTATATTCCATCTTTATTTCCAACCCCCACCATCTCCACCTCTCCCTTCTTCAAATAACATACTAACCACATCTTTTCTTTTGTGATAAAACAGGCAAAACTCGTCCTCACCACCGCCGTCCCCCTAACAAACCTCTTCCTCTCCCCCTCGGAAGTGAAATCCGCCACAAACAACTCCATCGGCGACAACGACGGCGAGGACCTCTCCGACGCGATGCGCATGATGATGGACGATCTGGGTCTGTCGATGCAGGCGCTCAAGACGACCTCGATCTTCAGTGGCGATGAGGAGCGCTTTGCCTTTGCGCGCGCCTTGTCCCGGTTATCGGAGATGGGGAGTAAGCAGTGGGTTGAGAGGGGGTTGGGGGTGGGTGTGGAGGATGGCACGGGGAAGAGTGAGCAGGAGGCGTATTCGAAGGCGAGGGGGAGGTGGGCGGAGGATAATATGTAGTCAGTTGTGGGTTGTGGGTTGGGTGAGACTTGGAGACGGGTCTAGCTTTGTTCGTTGCATATACTATAGAGTAGATATTTGTGCATGCATATAGTTCATGGTCCTTAGTAACCGAGGTCATTACGATTAGTCTAGCATGTACTCTGTAGGTGGTATGGGTATGCTACTGAAGAGGTGAAGTAGTAGTGACGTCACCGGGCAGTCGAACGAACCGCCGCAGAAAAGCCAGGAACTCAGCAAGAAACTGCAGAGAAACCTCGACTGTTGACAGGAACAGTCCCACAACCAAGGTCCTGCGTAGATCATGTCAGCCCCTTCAGCGGTCCTACCATTGGCCCAGGCCTGGAAATACGACGTGCCTGGAGACTCCGTCCATCGCTGACATCATGGAGCACTGGCTTCAGACCGTAACCTGTTGCATCATTGTCGAGTCCAGACTCCTGTCCCTGAACGGATGCTACTAATGCTTAGAAATTCAGAGCTCCAATTGGATCCGTGGGGATCCGGCTATATAGGGTCTTGCTTGCCCACCCTGCTGCTGGAAATTAGTCCTCACAGTTAGGAGTCCGAATCCTACCATCAGCCTTCTACAATGTCTGCCAAACAGGCTGATCTAAGCCGAGATACGGTCGAGCTCTCTGGAGCCCAACCCATGACCACCGACTATGGGATCAAAATCTCGGATCCCGATCATTGGCTGAGAGTGGTGGATGCCCAACACAACGGCCCCTCGCTGTTGGAGGATCCGATTGCGCGGGAAAAGGTATGACCCTTCTCTCAAGTCTTTCATGGATGAGCCTAACCAGCATAGATCATGCGCTTCGACCACGAACGTATCCCAGAACGCGTCGTCCACGCACGTGGAGCAGGAGCCTTTGGAACCTTCAAGCTCCACAAGGCTATTCCTGAGCTCAGCTCTGCTGGTGTTCTCAATGACACGTCTCGGGAGACTCCCGTTTTCGTGCGCTTCTCTACCGTCCAGGGCAGCAGAGGCAGCGCGGACACCGTTCGTGATGTTCGTGGCTTCGCCATCAAGATGTACACGTCCGAGGGAAACTGGGATATTGTTGGCAACAACATCCCGGTTTTCTTCATCCAGGATGCCATCAAGTTCCCCGACGTCATCCACTCCGTCAAGCCAGAGCCTCACAATGAAATCCCACAGGGCCAGAGTGCCCACAACAACTTCTGGGATTTCCAGTATCTGCATTCGGAAACCACACACATGCAACAATGGGTAAGTCTTCTCTCCTTCTTCTGAGTTCTGACACTGACTCTCTAGATCATGTCTGATCGTGCCATCCCCCGCTCGTACCGCATGATGCAAGGCTTTGGTGTCAACACTTTCTGCCTCATCAATGCGGAGGGCAAGCGCCACTATGTCAAATTCATCTTCACCCCGGAGCTGGGTGTCCACTCCTTGGTCTGGGACGAGGCCTTGAAGATCGCAGGCCAAGATCCTGACTTCCACCGGAAAGACCTGATGGACGCCATTGATGCTGGGCAATATCCCCGATGGAAGTTCGGCATCCAGGTGATCCCGGAGGAGAGGAAAGACGACTTCGAGTTTGATATCCAGGACGCTACCAAGGTCTGGCCCGAGGAGCTTGTGCCAATCGAGTATATTGGACAATTGGAGCTTAACCGCAACGTGGACGAATACTTCCCCCAGACAGAGCAGGTGGCTTTCTGCACGAGCCACATCGTACCCGGCGTCGATTTCTCAGACGATCCGCTCCTCATCGGCCGGAATTTCTCATACTTTGATACGCAGATCTCCCGCCTCGGCCCTAACTGGGAGGAGTTGCCTATCAATCGTCCTGTATGCCCGTATATGAGCCTAGTCAACCGGGATGGCCAGGCGAGACACCGCATCACAAAGGGCAAGGTGAACTATTGGCCCAATCGGTTTGACACTAACCCCCCGTCCTCGCCAGCTCAGGGTGGGTTTGCCACTTATCCTGAGAAGCAGCAGGGCGTGAAGGCCCGCGCGCTGTCGGATAAGTTCAAAGAACATTTCAACCAGGCCCAGTTGTTCTACAACTCCCTCAGCCCCATCGAAAAGCTTCACGTTTCCAAGGCCTTCTCGTTCGAGCTGGACCATTGCGACGAGGAGATCGTGTACAAGCGCCTGTCGGAACGCCTGGCCGTTGTCGATCTTCAGCTGGCGCAGGCCGTCGCTAAGAATGTTGGTGGCGACACACCGACCAAGACACCCAAGGAAAACGACGGCAAGACCGGGAAAGGTCTGAGCCAGTTCGACTTCCTCTCCGACAAGGCTGGAATCGCTACCCGCCGAGTTGCTATTCTTATCGCAGATGGCTTCGACCTCGAATCGTACAAGAGCATGAAGAGCGTTCTGCAGAAGCAGAACGCATTCGTCTTCACCATTGGTTCCCAGCGGCAGGGCATCACCTCCGAATCGGGTGAGAAGGTAATCCCTGATCACCATTTCCCTGGCATGCGATCCACTCTGTTTGACGCAGTGTTTGTCCCCGGAGGAAAGCATGTTGGAGCGCTGGCCAAGAATGGCGTTGCCAAATTCTGGATCACCGAGTCTTTTGCGCATCTGAAGCCCATCGCGGGAGTTAACGAGTCCGTGAACTTTATTCGGAAGCAGATCAACCTGGATGCCATCGAGTATGCATCAAGTGGGCAGGTGACGGAGAGTTACGGCGTGGTGACCGCTCATGGCACACCGTCGGAGTTGCTGCAGGTCTCTTCCAACATCAGCAAGGATAGCAAGGGCTTCATTGACCGGTTCATCTGGCAGATCTCACGGCACAGAAACTGGGCGAGAGAACTGGAAGGTTTGGTGGACGAGGTTGCTGCGTAACTGTCTGTATAGTATTAGATATGAACTAATGAAAGCGAGTGTTCTATTTATGGCTTATCGAGTACCTGCAGTCCCAATAAGTATTGCATTTAGAACACTGGATGTTATCGGGGCCTTAATAAAACACCGGGCGTATGTCAGCTGCATGTGATGTCGGACAGACGTAGTGATGTGTGGGCATCTCGGATGTGAAGGCATAGAACCATCGAGATCTTTTCCAGCTGGATAGGTACTGGAAATTATTATGTTTGCTGTGCCAGCAAACAGCAAACGCGTAGTGTTCTCACCATCCATTCACTTGGACGTGATCGCCGCATTCCAGCCAGGTCTCACAGAGCCCTCACCGGAAATCCATGCCGCTGCCGATGTAAGGGGCACATAATCCGGTACACTCCCCGCAAGTCCAGAATACTTCTACAGACAAACATCGATAAAACCGCGCCTCTTACTCTCAGCAAAACCGACCGGGATCATGGTGTTCCGGATCTCGCGCGCCCAGCGCCTGATGATTGTCATTGGGATCTCCTCCGCATTCTTTCTGTCCGAAATCGCAGGTAGATATTGTCACCCTGCAACCCACATTCGCGTCGCGTGCCTGACTGGGATTATGTTGCAGTGGGTTTCTATACCCACTCTCTCGCTCTGGTGGCTGATGCGTTTCACTATGTATGTATAAAGCAGACACTTCACTATGTGGATGCTAATGGGTTCAGTTGAACGACCTGGTTGGATTTATTGTTGCTCTCGTCGCTCTTAAGGTAGCCGTGACTCCCTCAAAAGTGAGGCATATATTAAGATCAGTCTTTAGGTCTCAGAGGCGGACAACTCCCCCAAGGCCCTATCATTCGGATGGCAGAGAGCTCAGCTTCTGGGCGCGTTTTTCAATGGCGTCCTCCTCTTCACCCTCGGAATCAGTGTCTTCCTGCAATCCGTTGAGCGCTTTGTCGCGATCCAGCGTAGGTGCTCCGCTCACACTTCAGTCACATTCCAGTCATATCTCGGTCATGTTTCAGTCATTCCAGTCATATCTCGGTCATGTTTCAGTCACATTCCAGGTTCGACTGATTAATTTATGACAGGAGTTGAAAACCCGAAACTCATGTTCATCATGGGTGCAATTGGACTCGGCCTCAATCTTATTAGTGCCACTTTCTTACACGGTAAGACTTGGCTCCGTGGCTCATAAGGGATTTTCGATAACGGTTCATAGAGCACCACCACCATGGGCACAGCCACGACCATACGTCCCAGCCTGTTGAGGCCCCAACCTCGGTAGGTGATGGTGTACAAGATCCAGTAGGTTTCTGCGGGAAGCATTGCGCAGCTTGCGGGTGACTGACACCCATTGCTCCACCAGCACGATAACCATAAACATCTCTCCCAAGCCACTCGGCCCGCATCTCATAAACATGACTTGGGCATGTTGGGAGTCATGGTGCACGTCATTGGGGATGCAGCGAACAATGTGGGCGTGATGATTGCGGCGTTGGTTATCTGGTTCACTCATTACGGGGGCCGCTACTATGCCGACCCCGGAACAAGCATGGGGATTGCTCTGATGATTATTTGCACCTCCATCCCCCTCGGTATGCTCCGTCCCGTTGCCGGGTGCCAGAGATCTAATATCCGACCACAGTGAAGCGATGCGGCCTTATCTTACTGGAGAGTGCGCCCAGTGGAGTTGATCTCGAGGATGTTAAGCACGACCTGGAAAAGGTAGGCGTGCATTGATTAATCCCGGCAGGAGGCAGCCTTCTAATCTTTTGGAATGCTCCGTAGATCTCCGGGGTCGTGTCCATCCACGAGCTGCACATTTGGCGCCTCAACCAGCAAAAGGCGCTCGCCTCGGTCCACGTCATGGTGTCGGACTGCTCGGTGTCAGATTTCCTGAAGCTGATCAAGACGATAAACGAATGTTTCCATGCGTACGGAGTCCACTCCACCACGATCCAGCCGGAGATGGCCCATCCGGGGATGATCGCTCTGGGAGGGCAGATGACCAAGGTCGTGGCTGAGGGGATGGAATTGCAGGCGGGAGTATCGGAGAAGTGCCAGGTAGTGTGCGGGACTCTGTGCGAGGCGCTGACCTGCTGTGGATAGATGAGAAGAGGATGAAGACGACAGACGAAAGACGAAGCCGAAGAGGAGGGAGGAAGTCGATGCTGCCTGCCCAAAGTGGAAGGAGCGCGGGGTCATCTGACTTGCCTTCCGGATGTGGAAAGAATTGCTTTTCTCTGATTGCGCGGAATGAGTTCCGCCCGATGGGTTTTCGGTGTTTCAACCGGAGGAGTAAAGTAGACAGATACCAATAATCATCATGCATGCACACTTCATCCTCCGTAGTAGCAGCATTCGAAGCGCCTTGGTAGCATTAGGCAGGTGCTCGCGGCCCACCCGCAGATAAGCCCGTCCCCACATCCTATCTTCTTCCTCGCTAACCTCAACCCACTGCTAGTCTAGTATCTAGATATCAGCCATGCCGACATCTCCCCCTCCCCGCTAGCGACTACTAGTACATACATGCTTTCCGATTCCGAGGCACCGCACCGACCACCCTGTCAGGGTCCCATCGCCAAACCTATATAGATAGCGGCCTCGCAACCATGCCGGATCCCTCCGTGGATATCTTCCACTCAATAATCTCCTTAGACCCCTCCAACAATGTCATCCACCTGGGAGCTCCAGGCCCAAAAAGCCAGAGATATCCTCGACGACTCCATCCCCAAGCAATGGCTTCTCCCCGCGCACCAGCTCCCCTCGCCCGAGGAGAAGAACGTCGAGGATTTTGCCCGCAAGAGCGGCCTGCTCTCCGAGAAGGAGCTCGCCATCACCGATCTCTCCGCCACTGCCCTGGTGCGTGAGATGGGGGCTGGAAGGCTCAAGGCGGAGGATGTCGTAGTAGCGTTCCTCAAGCGATCCGTATTAGGTCACCAGTTGGTAAGTAAACCCGTTTGTTGCACATCATCTGTCCAAGATTATGTACGGCTAACCTTGGGTGTCAGCTCAATTTCGCCACCGAATTCCTGGCAGATAGAGCTATTGCCCGAGCCAAGGAACTGGACGATTACTTCGAGCGGACCGGAAAGCTTGTTGGCCCGCTGGTGAGGCCCCCGTGCCATCCATACACACAGACAGCACGAAGACTAAAGATTCGTAGCACGGAGTCCCAATCAGCGTCAAGGAGCATATCGGAATCAAGGGACTCACTTGCAACGCCGGCTATGTGGCATGGTACGATCCTCTTCCTGGATAAAATTCCCCGAACAACATCGGAGCCCATGTTCTGACAGCACCAGGGTGAACGACATCGCAGAAGAAGATGCACTCCTGCTACAATGCCTCGAGAAAGCTGGTGCGGTCTTCCACGTGCGGACCAACCAGCCGCAATCTCTCATGGTACTACAGTCCACGTCCCTCTCACATCGACAACGCTAACCAACCGACCACAGCACCTCTGCTGCAGCAACAACCTCACGGGAACAACATTAAACCCATACAACCGCACCCTCAGCCCTGGAGGCTCATCGGGAGGCGAAGGCGCATCAACAGGCTTCAAATGCGCGCCTCTCGGCGTGGGAACAGACATCGGCGGCTCCATCCGAGCCCCTGCTGCATTCTGCGGCTCGTACGGATTCCGTCCGACTGCGCTTCGCAACCCGATGACTGGAGCCAAGGCCCCAGAGCCGGGACAGGAGGCTATTCGCGGCGTGATCGGGCCTCTCGCCAGCCAGAGCGTCGAGGATCTCGATCTCTTCCAACGAGCCGTCATCGACCAAGAGCCCTGGGACATCGAGACCTCCCTGGCTCCAGTCCCATGGAAGAGAGTCAGCCCGAAAAAGGACATCACCATTGGCATCATGTGGGATGACGGGTATATACCTCTCCCCCCTCCCCTTCCCCCAGTATCGATTCCACCAAGAGAGAGACACTTACTAATAGCCAACAGCTGCGTCCGCCCTCACCCCCCCGTAACCCGCGCGCTCAAACACACCAAAGCCAAGCTCCAAGCGGCCGGTATCAAGGTCGTCGACTGGGAGCCCTACAAACACGACCACGGCTGGGATATCATCGTACGACCTGCCCCCCCCCCTCTCTCAAACCAAACCAACCCAAACATCCCAATAACTAACCCCCAACCCAAAAACAGTCAGCAATGTACTTCCCCGACGGCACAGCCAGCCAACGCACCCTAATCACCCAAACCAACGAACCCACTCTCCCGCTCACAGCCTGGTCCTTCGCCTACAGCAGCCCCACCCCGCTCACCATCCACGAATCCTGGTCCCTGAACGTGCAGCGCGACACCTACCGCGACGAATACCACGCGCTGATGAAATCGCGCGGCGTCGATTTCATCCTCTGTCCCGCCTACGTCGGCGTCGCCGCCGTGCTCTACGAATCCCATTATTGGAATTATACCGCCATTTGGAATATTCTGGATTTGCCGGCTGCGGTGTTTCCGTCCGGGTTGAGGGTGGAGAAGGAGTTGGATGGGTTGGGTGGGGATGGGGGTTTTGTGCCGAGGAGTGAGACCGAGGAGACGGAGTGGAAGAAGTATACCGGTCCCGAGAGGTATGAGGGGGCGCCCGTGGCGGTGCAGTTGGTGGGGAAGCATTTCAGGGATGAGGAGACTCTGGCGGCGGCGGGGTTGGTTAGTCGGATTCTGGAGGGGAAAGAGGGGGGAGGGGTGGAGAAGTCGATGCTTTGAGTGAGGCTATTTTCTCATTTCATTCCATCAGATGATGAGGGTGAGGGTGAGGGTGTGCAGCATGAATGAACGATGCAATGAACTGAGAAGGAAGACGATAGGTGACGGGTATGTCGATATCATTGATCATATCATGTACATCCATTATTTCCATCAAATTGATCATCATCATCAAACATAGATACATAAGAAGTCCATCCATCCATATTCCATCTAGGCCTGTCCGTTCGTCCAAGCATTAAATCATGAAAATCCCATCCATCCAAATCCTCAAAGAAGTAAAAAAAAAAAAAAAGAAAAAGAAAAAGAAAAGAAAAGAGAAAGGAAGCAAACATCAGAAGCATAAAAAGGTGGTGGTGATGTTACTTCCTCCAAAACATAGCTTTCCCCATGGTCCTCTTCATGGTCCACTTCGTCTCGGAGAACTTATCCTTGATGTTCGCTCCTCCGCCGTAGCGGTGCGCTGTGGTGGTGGTGCGTCCGGCCTTGGAGCTAGACGTCTGGCTGATGGTGGCGAGATTGCCGGCGTCGAACTTGCCCTTGCCCTCGACGATCTTGTGCACGACGAGCAGGATGGCGTAGGTGGTTGAGCCGAGGACGCGGATCACGGCCAGGCCGGCCACGGACCACAGGAGGATGGTCAGGTAGATGTTGGTGCCGCCGGCGTCCGGGCTGTAGATTTCGGAAATGGCCATGCCGAGGATGACGTTGGCGATCATCCAGATAGAGACCATGTATGTGCGCACCGCGCGATAGTAATCTTCCTGCAGCTGGCTCTCGGGGATAGGGGGCTCGGGGACTTCGACGCGGTCGCGGAGGTTGCGGAGCGCGGCATCGTATCCACTGTCGATGTCGAGTTGCTCGGAGGGCATTTCGACTTCGACGGTCGTGCCGTTGATCACTCGTGCCGCGCCGAGGTCGGTGTTCATTACGTTGTCACCCTTGGTACCCCAGGTCACGTCGTGGGTGTTGCAGAAGGCGTATACTTGTAGGGTGCAGATGTAACTCGGGAGAAGAATGAAGTAGGCCGCGGAGGAAGTGAACATGTGCCATGGGTCGAGGTAGAGGAAGGAAGAGAAGAAGTAGAGGCCGACGGTCGAGAGTAGGGACATGACGATGTTGGTGAACAGTCCGTTACTGACTGTCAGCTTGGAATCGTCCCCGAAGCGCGCCATCATTTCGATCACGACAAGGTAAATCGTGCAGAAGATGGTGTAGAACATGACAATCGAGTAAACGATGATGCCGGTGAGATAAAGTTTTTTGGCACTGTGAGAGTTAGTTTTCATTTGTTGTCTGCCATCAGTAGGGGCACTTACCCTTGCGGTCGATTACCCATGGAGATGATAAATTGTAGACACATGACCAAGATGACAGCATATTTGAGTATAATGAAGATGTATTTGCCGATATTGTGACCAAAAGGATCGATCGTTTTGTCGGTAAGAGATCCAGCAATGAAATAGAACACCAGGTAGAAGTTTGCCTGACAAGAATCACCATGTAAGCTGTAAGCGCTGGGAGTGCATCGCTGGATGACTTACCAAGCCAAAGTACGTGAAGATCAGTTGCACAAACTGATAGAAACCCTCGATCTGCAGAAGGATCTTCCGAGCGAGCGAGTGGTCGGTCTTCCATAGTTGCTTTCCATTGACAATGGAATACACGGCCGCAAAGAATGCACCGTTCAGCCATCGTCGTCTTTGGGAGATAAACTCAGGGATCGAGTCTAGCCAGCTTGTTAGTACCATCAAATGTTGACAGGGCTCTGTACATACCTGGCACATCGGTTTCACCAACCGCGCTCTTCACAAACTTCAGAACCCATCTTTCTTCCCTCTTGGCTACCAGTTCCCAGCAAAGAATACGATCTTCTGCCAGGTACATGTTGGCCGTAAACACATCTGCGTCCTTGCCGTGCAGCGTCTCTCCCTTGAAATACTGGTTCAACGGTCCATTGCCCTCGGCATCGTTCTGCAGCGCAAAGAACCGGTACGCACTGAGCGCTCCGGGAAGCACAGTAATGTACCCGAAAACAGACTCCAACGGCTTGTCTAAGATGTTGGACATCTTGTATTCGAAGTTTTGACTGGCAACCAACGGGTTCAACAGACCTAACCACCCCTTGCCCTTACCAGCTTTGATCTCACCAGCGGCTCCGGCAACGTTGGAGTTCTGGTCAAACGACTTCCAAAGGTGATACAGCGCAGTAGTGGCGGGCTTGGTACCGACATCCAGAAGAATACAAATGTTCGGCTGTAGTGCTCGGCCAAAGGCGTTGAAGAACCAACGATGCGAGTTGAGCTTCTTCTTGTTATGTTCCTTCAGGCAGAAAATCACCTGGCATGGAGTCATTCCCTTCTCGGCACCCTTGAACTTCAAATCTTCATCGAGCGACACCTGGGTTGTATATTCGTACACGTGTGCGTTGACCTGCTTCTGGTTGACGACGTTCTTGGCGATACCTTCCTGGTAGACACCCAAAGCGGCCAAGGCATTGAGGGTCCGAGGGTGCACCTTCTTACGACCGTCCGCGATGATGCAGACGACGATCTTCTTCCAACCATCCTTACCCCAGGTGCGAGACTTGGAACGCGAACAGAAATGGGCGATGTTGCGCATAATACCATGCATTGTGCGAGTGAAACCAACTTCATCCTCGTTATACATCGTGACGCAAATAAACAACTCCGTCTCTCGCGTGGTATTTCCGATTTCCTGACGCAGCTTGTATCCTTTCTGGGAGAAGTCGTCCGGGTCGCAGGTTACCGCAGTGTACCGCATGTGGGTGAATTCGCGATCGTCTCGACGAGGCAAGAACGAGTATAGAATAGTCGGGATCTTGCACTCCAAGATCAGTTCACCGTTGATCAGTTGAACTTCTTTCTTAGACATCTGAGCATCGCGGACACCTCGACGGCCTTGCCGTTCCGGGGCGGGCCCATAATGCATGTTCGGGTCTACCATTTCATCGGCTTCGTCCATGTCTTCGTCCAGGTCAATCTTATCCATCGCGTCCTTTTCGTCCGTGATGATCGTCGATTCGCTCATGAAAGATTGCATGCTGGCCCGATTATCATGCCTGGGGTCAATGGTCCGTCCACCACCGCCAAACACGTCGTAACTATCGGGCCCTTCGATCTCGATACTGGCATCCTGTCCAACAGTCGATGCGCCCGGGTGGGAGAACAGTGGTGCCGGTGGCAATGGTCGTCTCGGACTACCGCCATATCGTGAACTTGGGGTGCCCGGTCTTGGACTACCGTTGATATCCGCACGTTCATAATTCGAGCCTGCGACAGAGGGAGGCGCCGGCGGTCCGGTCCAGTTTGGTGCACGTGTGGGAGACCAAGGTCGCACGGGCGAGCCTGGCCGGGATGAGTAGTGTGGGATATCGACTGTCGATGCCGCTGGAGGGGGAATGGTGGGTACATTTCGCAGACTAGACGCAGGTCGTGAGGGAAACTCGCTCGTCTCATACTGGTAGTAGGGTTCGCGGTCACTTCTGCGATGTTCAGCACGTGAGTTAGCGGCCCGCTTCGCATACATCATTTCGACAATCATCGTGAAGCTATCTATATCGGATGCACATGGGCATCCGATACGCTCACAAGGGGGTTCGATATACGCGTCAGGGTAACTCTGTCCAAGAAATGCTCCAAGTCTTTCGACTTAAGCTTCCCCACGAGCAACATTTAAAGGACATCAACAATATCAACAAGGGGCAGAGGTATAGTGGAGCTGGACGAAGGAACGACGATCATCCATCGTCATCGGTATGCCAGAAAGTCACATCGTAGGGGAGGGCAAAAAGCGCGGGACTACTCACGAGCCATCGTCGTAGGAGTCCCCATAGTGGTATTCCGAAGTAGCTCCCGTCTCGGCACTCAAATCACTCTCCATGCCTGTACTTGTAGGAAGCAACCGCATGGTGGCCCCGGTGTGACGCGCAGCGGGCGGAGGGGAGTCGTAGTTTCCGGAGCCATAACTGTACGCCGGCGGCTCCTCCTCTTGGTTCTGCGCTGGCACATACATCCGCGACGAATTGTTCATGGTTGACGGCGACTGACTGGTTCAAGCACTCATAGTATCTGAAGATCGATCGTGGGTATCTAGGTCGTGATTCGCGTCTTCTCGAGCTATCAGCTCCAACCACGCAACTCAAGTTGCAGTGATCTGCCAATTCCTGGAGAGCAGGTTGGAAGGGTTAGCTTTAGTTCGTTTGCTCTGCACTTATGTTGCCGGATCAGGGTGATGAAGAATGTCACTCACGGTCGAAGAGGGCAACGGGTTGTCTGGTGGTGAGTGCCTGTAAACAAACCGAGTATGTCGGGGAATGGGAGGAATGTATGGTATGGGTCTGAATGCTGGAGGAGGGCGGGTAGAGTGTAGGTAGGTAGGTACGAGGTAGTAGGTATATGGACGGACCCGAGGTGCCGTAGTAAACAAAGGCTGTGATCAACCACACGAGCGTCCACACTAAAAAGCAGCGATGCAATGAAGTCGGTCGCCCACGTTCGGCCGGGGATTTTAAGAAAGGCAGAGAACCATGGAAATGGGCGCCTACAGGCCGTCGTAATCACGGCGCTGACGGACGGCGCAGCGTGGAGAGTCTTGCCTGTCGCCGGGGCAACGGCGGCGTGGAGGAGTCGGCGGGGCGGCGGTCCTTGCAGTCAGCAGTACGGAGTAGTTCCTGTTCCTTACTTCGGCACGTTGAACGCGCTGAGCCGAGGATCCGTCCATGCCCAAGGCTCGCACGAGTTCTCAGGCACCATCGAACTAATTATACAATACACACACCCGGACCCAGTGGAGCATGCGATCTCGACCCCAGTCGAGCCGGTGTTGACTTGTGATGACTGCATCTGGTTCAACGTGAAACTAACGGCACCTAGACTGGAAACGCTTCGATCGCCCAGGAAAAGCTGTCAGCGGTCCCATGGAACGACCGTTCAAATGACCGTACAGCCCGCAATCAACAAAGACGCCGCGAAGAAACAAGAACGCCGCCAGTATTACGAACATTTTTTTAGTCAACCATAACAACATATAGGTGCAAGGGATTGATAGTACAGAAAAAAAAACTAATTCACAAGGGGGGCCAAGGAAGTGATGGAACGGCCCTGCCATCTCAACTCAGTCCTCGAGAGATGGTGTGCTCTGGACCTCATGGGTTTTGATTTCCTAATAAACATCCTTCAAGCCATTGCCAGCCGATTGGATATCTCACGGCTAGGTTGACTCTGCCGGCTGGGTTGGGTCGTGAAGCAAGGGCTCCCTCTCGCGATCAGCCGCCGCCGGCTGTCCAGCCCGGCGGAACAGAACATTGCGGCCAGAGTACTTGGTCAGCGAGATGTAGAGAGACTCCGCGAAGAAAACCGCAAAGATGACAATGGCAAAGATCCACTGCAGGGAGATGATCTTGACGCCAAACTGCTTCACGGCCAATCCTGCAAGGTTTGTTAGCGTTGTGATCATAGATACGTAAGGGCCGACCAATAGTGGGCGATGGGATTTCGTACCCAGTGTCAGAAGACTCAGACTGTAACCCAAGAGATCGTCCTGGGTAGACAGGATATGAGCTGAGCCCAGCGCGAAGAGCACCCAGATGAAGACATTGGCAACAATTCTCGCCGGGAGACTGTTGCTGTTCACGGCGACGGCCCCGTTCCAGAACAGCGCAATCAGGGTCCAGGCATAGGGCGCTGCGACGGCAGCAAAGTGCGCGACCGCTGGCAGCGTACGATGCCGCCAATAAGTCGCATGCTGGTTCAAGAAATGTGCGATCAGGATGATCTCCGAACCCCAGAAGTGACTGCGGGTCCACAGGAGGATCCAAGCAAAGACGAAGAGATTGTTCAGGATGAAGTGGGATCCCACATTGGCGGCGGCAGTGGCCACTACGGCATCGTTGGAGAATAAATGGTACACATAACCGACTTGGGAGAGAAGGACAATGACCCTAGATCAAGAGGCGGTCAGAACCGGTTGGTCAATGGGGAACCAAAGGAAAGCCCCGGGAAGATATATAATGGTGTCGCGTAGATAGCTCCGATGCCGGATACGGAGAGCCCACTCAAGGAGAAAGGAGACCAAATTTACCAGTAGAGCCCACCAATAACCGTGCTCAAACTAAATGGAGTGATATGCTTGTTGGCCTGCTTCCAGATGGTATGGCCGTGCTTGACATCATGGGGAGCGTGGCCGGAGTAGTAGATGCCGGCCACCACGACGAGCAGCCACGAAAGGGGAACGAGAACGCGATAGGTCCCGAGCGAATAGCGGGTATGCGATTCGCGCTTAGAGAATGGATTATCTAGAGTCGCATGGATGGGTCAGTAGAGAGATTTGAGGTTGCATGCGAGAGTCTCGGGGTCAAGGGAGGAGAGGGGGAAGAGCTCACAGGTCGCCATGATGACCCGACAGGTGAAATTCGAAAGGAGAGTCTGCGAGCGGTTGGTGGGAAGAGAACCGGTTATATGGCAGGTGTCATAGTAGTGGGATAGTAGCGTAGCAGCTAAGGGAGGAGGATCATGACCTAATGGTGGTAAAAGTACATTTTTGCTCGCCTGCACCCCGCAATTGCCTGATCTTCTGACAGGCTGGCCGGCTTCTCACTGGCCACGGGACATGCCCATGGAGAACTGCTCCGGTCGGCAGGTTTCCCTGGTTCGCATCAATCGGCATCATCGGTGGCACAATAGAAGGCAGACGCCATGACATCATCCAGGATGCGCTCCATCCTTACGTCTACTACCTGCTAAAACCCAATGGCAGATGGATTGCGCATGCGGTTAACCACCGGTGTACCCGGCATTACTATATATAAGTATAAAGGTCCCTGTCCTCCTTCCATCATCATCATCATGGTCCTGTAATGTTGTTGATCGCCCTCCCCACGTTGTCGATCCGCGCACGGTCCTACCAAGTGTCTCGTCCACCAGTGACCGAGCAAGATGCAAAGACGGTATCAACCTTTAAGGTGCCATCCTATACCAATTCGTCGTCTTGCATGGAAGATCCCAACATGATAGTCTCGGCTTTTGTACATGAACGGCCCTGTCAATCCACTCGAATTGGCACAACGAGGGTTGGGTCCGTAGTCTCCCTCCCTCGCCGCCATGGGCCCCCGAGATAAGAAAAGAAAGGTTGGTGGGCGGGGATCACTGGCCCTTGTGTAGCTGCTCGTCTTACAGGATTTGTTTCACAGCTTCCACAAGCTTGCCGTGAATGGACGAAGGTGCAACGATCATCCCGTAGCACCCCGCCAAGGTTCTGCCCAAACTGCAGTCAACTGGGTTACCCGCCAGGTCGCTGACAGTGCAGCCGAGTTCTTCAGCAATCAACATGCCGCCCGCGTGATCCCAGATCTTCGATCGATAGGAAGCTTTACGCGGGATCTTGACCATGATGTTACAGCCGCCCACTGCAATGGCGATGTACCGCAGCTGCGCAGCCCAGAGGTCCGTCGAGGCCGGCCAGGGTGCGCCCAGGTGGGATGCAAGGCGGGCATGCATGTCACGGTTGGATGAGGTGGCCGACACGCAATCCACAAAATCAAGATCCTTAGGGTCGGTGATTTGGGCCTTGGGCTCGATCTTGTGGAAGGGGAGAAGACCTCCCGTTCCCATTTTCCGAAGGAAGGCGCCTTGTCCAGCAAGGGCGAAAACCTGGTATCCATACCCATCCCGATCAACGATGTTTTCGTCGAGGCGTCCCGTCTTTAGATTCATGTTGGGACAGCCCAGAACACCCAGCCGCTGGCGACCGTTCTCGACCAGAGATAGACAGACGGCATACTGCTGACCCTGGATGAAGGTAGCCGTGCCATCTACCGGGTCCAGAACCCAGGCGCGGCCTTGCTTACTAGAGTTGCCCTGGGCGCCCAGGTCGATGATGTCGAGCATTTCCTCCTTGGTGCTTGGGGAGGAAAGCAGAGCTTCGCTGTCCACATCCGCGAGGCGAGTGGAAGAGACGAGTTCCCATGTCCGTTCGAGGAGGTCAGGGTCGGATCGAAGGGCAGTGGAGCTCTCTTCGCCCACGAACTCATCGTCGGGGAAAGCACGGTGGATGGCGGCAATGATCAATGCCTGGGCGGCGAAATCAGCAATTGTTACCGGCGTGTCATCGCTCTTGTCGAACGACCCTTTGTCCACAGCCTCCAGTAGCTTTTTTGTTAGGAGCGTGGCTCTCTGGACGGTCAAACAGGCGATTTGAAGCTCCTTGGCGTAGGGGTCGGTGGAGTCCATGGTAACGGGATGCGCGGCACCACTCGATAAGAGGCTGATCGAAATCGAGTCGGAAATAGATCACAGGGTCGCTCGTTCGACGAATTATCCTGCGGAATCTATCTCAATTGGGCCGCCTGGCCGAGTGGTCCTGAAGAAAACAATGCGCGGGGCTCGGAGAGGTTGTCGCAACCGCTATCTTAATCTTGCAGGGGCGCACAAGACTAAATATCCGATCCAAGGTCTGATTGTGGGGTCCTCTTGGAGGGGCACCCGGTGACGTAGGATGTGGAATGTACCGGTGAGTTTCCGTCACTTCGGTCAAGGATAACGAACGTAGAACGGAGGGGTGCGAAAAAGACGATGGAGCAGGCTCCTGGAGAGGCTGATCTGGAGGGTTCAAGGGGGATTTTACCAGGAAATGGAAGGAAACACGAGGGAGTGACTCGGAGTCGAAGCCACTGGAAAGGATCGCCGGCGGAGTGACCGGTCCGCCCGCTTTGGGCTAGTGCGTCTCGTTTGGGTCTGGCCGCTTCCTCAGGCAGGCTATCTTATCAGCTGGTGGCAATTGGAATGCGCAACTCTTCTATTGTCTTGATCTACGGGATGGATCCGCCGTGGGTGAGCTGAAATGTTCTTATCTGACACAGCACGCCCCAGTATGAAGTAGGTACATGGTTTGATCTTCTTGTAAGCATCGTGATGTACCCTAAGCGGTCCAATCGACAGGGTGTAAAGAGCGAGTCGCTCTGCCATGCCAATACATACGCAGACAACTCGCATATGCAGCGGCCTAAGTTTCATGCACGCACTCCGATCTCTTTGCAGCCCACTCACTCATCAGTCAGAATGAAGGGTCATTCGATGGTAGTATTAAAATGGCGCAAAGGCCAATTCATACGCGAACCCGAGTGCCAGCTTCGCATGTTCCAGCATATGGTCGAAGCTCAGATATTTAATCCTGTCGTCAGTGGTGTGGATTTTCTTGTTGGTATTCTCCATCTCAGACTCCGTCGCCATAGCTGCCGGGTATCCGTACTTGCTGGCCGACGTATGGTCGGAACAAGCGTAGCCGCATCGGGTTTCGATATAACTAATACCGCAGTACTTTGACCCTCGTTAGCATGCTTCACGTCAGAGGTGAGGGTGAGGACATACTGTGTTCGTGACGTCTTTGAGGAACTGTGTCAGCCCCTGGTCGACATAATCGATCATAATACCAATGGCTTCCGGGCGACCAGCGTCCAGAGCCCCTTGGGTGTACCCTGTCATGTCCTGTTGGAGCATCGCCTTGACATCTCGCCGATCCTTCTTGTACTTCGAAAAAATCGCCTGCGAGCCCAGCATGCCGCCTTCCTCTGCCGAGTACCAGTGAAATTCGATTGTATTGGGAGCCTGTCCCTGGACAATGGCGTCTGACTGCAGCAGACCGCGCAAAGCTTCAAGAATAGTGACAGTTCCACTTCCATCATCATCCGCTCCAGGGGCTGCAAGGATAGAAGGCAGGAACAGATTAATACTGTCCTGATGGGCACCCAGGACAATGGTCTTGTTTGTCTGGCCGGGAATCCGAGCAATGATACTGAATTGGCCCCAAGAGTGGGCAAACTTCTCGACCGTCGCGCCGTGATCTGCTGCGCCTGTCTTCTCGATCACATCGAGGACTCTGTCGTAGAGCCAACCTGCAGACTCAACCCCAGTCGACGATCTGTAGTAGCGAGTGTGGAAGGAGGTGAACTTTTCCAGATTCTGCTCCATATTCTCTTTAACCAGACCCTGCAAGAGCGGGGCCACCTCTTTTGCATGCTCAATGGTCGATGGATAGTGAACGTAACTGCCAGCGTGCAACGTCGGATAGAAGCCGGTATTCCGTTCTTCAGTGATGTCGATGAAGTTGACGCCGTCCTAAGGAGATACCCACGAAGTGATTAGCCAATTGAATAGATGTGCCATTAATGAGCCGGATCAGTCATAGTATACCAATTTGAGGGCCCATTTCTCTTCCTCAGTGACCCAACGAGTCTGATAGGGAGCCAGCTCGATCAAGAACTTCTCCTGGTGGTGGTGGACAACCTGGGGGATTGTTATGGGTTCCTGCTGCGGCAGCACGGCGGCCAACGCTCCCGTGGAAGCCGTTGCGCCCAGCGCAAGGGCTATAGAAAGCTTCATGGTCGTCTACGAAAGTCTATTGCGCGGCAATATCGAGAAAGACACGGCAGGGTGGAAAGATCAAGGACGATAACAATAAAATTAAGCAGTGATGGGCTGCTACTGGAAACCCTGAGGGTCGGAATGAGTTGTACAAGATCGACCCGCCCGACAGCACCCAGCAGCAGTAGTAGCTGACAAGGCTTGGAGGTGTCGCGGAAAGCAGGCGAGGAACTTGGTTTATCAGGAATGCCCCAGGAACTGCTCCGATGGGGATTGGTATTGAGATGGACGATGGTTGCAACAGGATGAAGAGAGCAGACGAAGAGGCCCCTTGAGACTGTTGCGTCAGAGGTGGCCGCGGCTTAAATACGAACACCGCTCAGCAGCAGCCCGCGCGCCAAGGATGCTGTCAGACTGGCCGGTCGGGTGCTACTCGGCAAGTCTGCTGGCTGAGCAGTGAGTGGGATGGTTCCTGGGGCAGACATCAGGGAAAGTTAGCCGCCCAGCGGGGTGGTCGTTTCCCAGGGGTAGATGGATGGATATGGTGCTATCACCATCTTGATATGCACGATTGACTGGAATCGGGGACATTTCGGGGCGCTTCTTGCATGGTATGATCGAGACTACAGTACTACACAGTCCTCCTACCTGCAGAGTGCTAGTCCATTGGAAGCACAATCGAAGCCGTGGTGCGACCGCCGTCAATGTTGTGCACCTGTGCTGTCCTCTGTACCTGAGGCAACCCCCCCCTCCCCTCCCCCCTCCCTCTTCACCCGTTCCCCGAGTCATGGATCATCGCTCACTCCCTCTACAGCCACCAGGCGCTCCAAGCTCTTGCCGTCCTCATTATTACTATGAATGCGGGCATGCTACTCATACCTTTCAGGCCTTCATAACTCATCGTGATCTAGATACTCCTACATATGTCAATTTGTCAACCCCTTGGCAAAATTAGGCAACAACTTTCGTTATTCTACGGTTGGACTCCTATCTATTTCCGTCTGGCGAGCCGGTTATCTGTAGCTGATCAGACAAGCTAGTGGTCTCCGTTGTATCATCGTCCGGGGATTTGTCCCCCCCACAAAGCCTGGGTTGACTATAACTGAAGTATATAGATCGCCGGCTTCGACGGTTCCTGCCTCTCCATAATCCATACCAAAGAACCATCAACAAAGCCTCGGACTATGCAGGATGATGGAAATAGACAAAGCGATTAATGGTCTCGTTAAGATGGATCTTCCACCGTTTTGACCGAATTGTTCGTATCACTTGTCCGAACAGCGACAGGGCTTCATCGGCAGTCCAGAATGCTATCACGAGTGCCCGCGAAGTTCATAATGGACCTATGACGTCTCGAGTATATGAGGAACGGCCTACAACGAGCCAAAAGGGGCCGTAGGACAACTATCTTGACCTAATGGCATAAGAAAAGTAACCATCTTCTCCCCATGGTCGCGTCCAAGCAGGGCCAGGGCTCTTGGGATTCCAGTGGCCCTTCGATGCCATGACTTGGTTGATTCAACAGAGTACATGGTTCGCTGCCTTGAATACCATATCCATAGCGTACAGGGGTCCGCATCACTCTCACAGTCCGTGTTTAGCCCACGTGAATGTAGACCTCATCACTGAGGGTCCGGGAAAGAGCCTGGAGAATCACTTGACTGTCCCAATTATCCATTACCCGTTACAATCGTCCCCGTTCGAACGCGGGAGGGTTTACATCATAGATAACCGTGAGGCAGACGCCGTCGCGTCCAGAACCAGTGGCTCGCGAATCAATGAGCCACGATGGGCCACGATGACTCACATACGACCCGTGGGCCCCTGCCTCGATTCCTGTTCTGGTAGGTAGGGCTAGGGTACGATGGTCAGCGATCCAATCATCCGGATTGATTGTTCTCGTGCCCCAGGCTCGAAATCCCAAGCGCTTACAATACGGTACACGCGGTACATGCAGTACCAGCCCTGATCGCCGGACGCGACCGAACCGCAGTTGGTTATCTCCTATCTGGCTTCCTTTCGTCCCCCGCTCACTCCCTCTTCCTTCTCCTCGTCCCCCGACTTTCGTCTGTCTTCTCCGTCCTCACATAGGTCGTGTCCCTGGAGATCCCTTCCTGGAGTACCCTGCACATTCGCCTCGGGCCACAAAGCATCTTGTGTGCATAAACATCCCTCTCTATATATCAATTATTCGTTATCGCGATCCATCCGCCTAACCGAACCGTGTTGCGATTCACCCGCCATGGCCATCCATCCGAGTTTCCCGTCCGAGGCGGACCCTAGAGGCAGTCTCTCGCCGCAGCAGGCTCGCGCTATCTCAGCCTGGACGGAACAGGCGGCTGCATCGTTGGGAAGTCTGACTCTGTCGGAGTCGGTCCCGGTCGGCGACCGGAATGTCTCCTTTTCGCCATCCACCCCTACGCGCTCAGGCCTACGCGGAGCGACGGTCTCGCTGTCAATTCCTCTGGATGGCCCAGCACCCACAGCAGAGGGCGCCGCAGCCTCTAAACCCAAGCTTCTGGGACAACCCGCAAAGGAGACCAAGGTGGCATCGGTGTCTTTCCGGCGCCGGGAACCACTCCGCCGCGATAGCTTGAAGAGCCGCGAGGCTTTGCTGAAGGGGAAGGACGGCAGTCGGCGCAGACAGCGCTGGGAGAACGGTACGTCCAGTCAGGCGCCTGGAATTGACTTCTGCGCGTCTCCCAGACTTGGCGTTATCGTTGCGGTGAGGAAATGCTGACAGGTCATGTCTCTACCAAAGATCGCCTCCTGAACAATCCCTGGGCAGAGCCCCCTTCCTCCAAGGATTGGAATATTGAGGCAACCCACACCCGTCACAACCCTATGCCGTACTACCTTGCGCCGCTCTGGGATACTCATTATGCGCACATGGACCGCAGCTCGTCGAAGCCCACGGCAGAAAACACGGAGAAACACCGCGTCCCTAAGGAACTGCGTACGAAGCTGAAACATGCGCGTGCCGCACGCGGCATGCTCCAAGACATCGAAGAGGACATCAGACACTTCATTCAGCGATGGAACGAGAAGCAACTCTTGCTGAAGCAGGACGGCTTGGCAGATGCTCCCTCGTCATCCGACGATGATTCCGAGGACGAGATAGTGTTCGTGGGCAGGAACGGCCAAATGCATGACTCGCCTCAGCGAAAGGAGAAACTGCAGCAGATGCGCGAGATCATGACTGCCCACAATGAGCGAGACGGGGAAAAGATGGTGTTCGAGAGCCTGGTCGACGACCGGGCCGCTGGGTTTGGGTGAGTACCGCACACTCTCGTAGAATGTGGAGCCCGCGCTTACCGTCTTCTTTCAGTCGCTGGCTCGTCCATTCTATCGCATCTTACTACGGCCTGCACACTTGGTCCATCACCGTGGGAGAACCCGCCCGCCGCGAAGCCTACGTCGGATTTCATCCGCCCACGGGCAGTCGTGCAGGGCTTGTGTCCCAACCGGCCTGTGGCCAAGAAACGATGATCCAGCCCGGAGACGCACTTCCTCGACCGCTCTGGGCGCAGGTTTGAGCCATGGGTTTGGCTGGTTGACTGATTGATTGATCTGTCGTCATCTAGATCATATCTCGGTTAGACTTTCGGATTGATTCATTTAGAGCCACGCGGGTTCGGCTCACGAATAGAGAAGGTAGGTTCCGGAATGCTTGTAATACTCCTTGTAATAGTCCTTGTCTAGTACTTCTGGAGTTGTAAGATACTAGATCAATGTTTGATTTTGCGGCGACGGGGTAGGATCGATGCCATGGTGCACCACCCGTACACTTCTTTCCCGCTGGCGTTCTCGACTTCCCTGACTATCATCGGGATTGAATCATGCAAGGTCGTAGGGTTGTATGTGTAGTCGATACTCCGTACTTAACCCATGGACAAAGCGCGAACACGTCGCTTCAAATGAATACTATGGCGGAGTGCAGCCAACGCCCGTTCGCGAGATGCATACAAAACAAGCATCAAGGGAGAACCGCGCCCTGTCGATCTATTCATCCCACCTCCCACGCCCCCTTCACCCTCGCCATCCCTCAGCTAGTCTGGAACCCTTGCCTACCTCCCGACTCGGATCCGACTAACCCGGCGATGATATGATCTCAGTGTGGCGACCGACGCGAAGTTTCAAGGAGGTGCATCCATCCATCCATCCATCCACCCATCCACCCATAAGAAACTTATCAGGTAGGTAAATAGACAGGTTTTACAATCTTAAAAAAATATCATTTGAATCTTAACTTGATATAAAGGGTTTAGCGTATTCTGAATAGGTATAGCCTGTTACCAAAGTGGCTTAGTGGCAGTGTAGACTAGGCCAGAAGAAGGGGCGGTAAGAGAGTTGCGAATATCGGCGGTATAAGCTGTTTTGTAAGGCCAGGTTTGTAACTATTCGATGAATCTGAGCAAGATTCACTGCATACTAATTCTTTGGGTTTAGTCTTGAGATAACTGGCCAATTACTACAGTTATTGTAATACTAGTGCTTGTCAACGACCCACAAAGGATATTTGTTTTACCAAGTTCTGCCGTCTTGGCGTGTAATATTTACCCGAGAATAGGCGATTTTGAGTATTATCTTATTAAGATAGTAAAGCCTGTCTAATATCAAGAAAGACTGGATTCTGGATTCTGTGGATTCTGGAACCTGAACTCCAGATGGAGGCCATGACATACGTAGATCCCAGATCCCAGATCCCTTCGGCTTCACCGCCCAATCTCGGTCCTTTCCTCCCCTCTGATCATCGCATCTTCCGACTCGGATATGGCGATGGCGGAGATATGTGGCGATAGTCGTATACAGAGGCAAGGAATCGTATAAGGAGGGCAAGGATTAGGATCCTGAATCCGGATAGACGTCATGGTGGATATGGCTGGATATTCTCTCTCTTTCTCTCTCGCTCTAAATAATAACATGGGGGGTTTTAACGGAATTCTGAGCGTATATGGACTGACTACCTATCTAGGTAGACATCCGGTACGGTTTGGTGTAGTAGAAGATGTATTTTATTTCTAGGGTAGAGAGAGTTAGAGGAGGATGCCGGGCGGATGGACACACCGTGCCGTGCCGTGCCGGATGGAGGAGGAAGAAGAAGTCGTACAGATTAGTTCTGGACTCAAGGTAATAGGAATCGATCGGGGTAGTTGAATGCTGCGTGTCTGTGCAGTTACATAATAAGTAAGAAGAGGGGGCTGAGGGGTTGAAACTGGTAGTAAAGTATTTAGGTGAAGTTATGTATGTACATGGATGCATACATATATACATACTCTGTACATACTAGTATCTGCTATAGACGATGGATGAGGTCGGTCTAGTCTGGGGGTTACTATGGGCGTTGAATGGTATGCGAACATTCTCATTGGGAGATGGTTACCTACATGAATATTCAGATTCTTACGGAGCAGATGAGCAGGAACTGCTGACCATTGGAGTGGGGTTATGATTATGACCTGAATTGTTGTACTGTGTGGCTTGGTATGTGCTATAGTGGAGGTACTCTGTACTACAATGGTCAATGTTGTTTGTTGGACGGAGTACATATCTAGATAGCCGACGAAGTGACATGATATATCCGCGTAAAGAGAATGTAGAATTCTTCGCTAACCGGGGGTGGTTCTAGTGAGTGCTTACACGGTAACCGGAATATAACATCAATGGTAACTAACCCCCGTTGGGTCGACGTTGCTTCCGAACACAAGATATGAGGACATAAGGGCATGTTGTGTATGCGGATGGCTGGTTGGTATGTGGATGATGTATAAGTGGTTGGGCTGTGACGTAGAGCCAAGTACCTACTTAGTAGTGTACATCCCCTCGGGTCATTCGTCTGCAGACCGACCAAGGCAGACAAAGTCACTTTGTACCACCGACTTCCGTCAGTTTGCATTGCTTTTGCCTCGCACCATGTGTTGTCTGCGATGTCAGGGCTACTGGTTTCTGTGATGTGATGGCTCTTGTGTTGTAATGTGCTGTGTGGGTGTGGGTGTGGGTGTGCTGTTGGGGATGCCGACAAGTCCGAATCTATTACGTCTTCTGTCCTCTCTCTCTCTCTCTCTCTTTCGTACTTCTGTCGATTCTGCAAGCAACAGCCGATTCAAGGAAAGTACGGAGGGTTACTGTAGTAAGTATGTGCTGTGCTGACCTCGGGGGGATATGTATGTATGGTGCAAGGGACAGGTATCGACCGTTGAGTTACCGAGTTGGGTCACTGTGGTGAGAAGATTCAAGAGTCCACTCACTTGGGTCAAGAACTACTAGTCAGTCACCTCAAGTAGGTTAAGTCGGATGCACGGATGCCTGGACAGCTCCGCAAGGGCCCTTATCTATTTAGATCGATCGAGAATCAAGCATTACCCTCATAGTAGATAGTATCTAGGTAATGACGATGATGATTATTATAATCGTTGAGACAAGCGAAGCAAGGGCATGGGCCCCACCCGCAGTGGGTCGACGTGACGAGAAACCGGGATAGGGTTCGTGTTGGAGTTGGACGGGCGAGAAGGAGAAGACGACAACAAATAATCCTCGCCCGTTTCACTTTTCGTCCATCGTGGTCGGCGTGTCTGGGCCATTGCAGAACCCACTCCCCTGCCACTCTGGAGAGAGTCGTGGCGAGACCATACGATTCGTGAAACACACAGCCAGAAAGTCAGAGAGCACTGACTCTCTATTCGGTCCGATCCGAAGCAGCGCCCCTAAGGAGTTGGTTCCATGGTACGGCCGTGTCCAGGTCGTTGGGTATAGAACTACTGATCAGGCACCGATCAGATACCAACCCGCGGTGTATTTTTTTTTTTTTTTTCCCGGACAGCAACGACAGCGCTAGGTCATTCTGATGTCCGATCATGGGTCCCCGAAGAGTATTTCTCCATCCAGCGTCCGGTCAACGGCCAAGTCCGCGTGAAACCAGCGAGTAGTCGCAGATTCCCTGCAGGGACGACATCCAATCCGCGCCGGATCATGTCTTCCGTCAACCTTTACATGCACGCCCGGAAATACTGTAGACACAAGACACATGCTGTGGGCAAGCCTGCTGGTCGTGCTGGGCTACGACGGCTGCCGGGAAGCGCCCCCCTCGATTGGAGGGTCGGAGAATATCTATCTCAGACGGCACTTGACCAAGAGACGACGAAGCCTCTCGATCCTCGGAAGCATGGGATGGGGCGAATACAGCCCAAGTCTGGGAGCCTAAGTGATAGAAGAGGGATTCTAGAACATGGTCGGTGGTCACAGCGGTCGGACTAAGCCGTCGAGTATATACGAACCGGATGGCGACGTATCAGATGGGCCGGCGTCGGGCTGTGGCCGGGGAGGCTCGATGATGTAGCCCTCGCGGTCACAGTGACTTGGGGAATGGGGACAGTTGAATGGCCGTCGCTCTCTGGGTGATCGGATCGAGGCTGAACCCAAGACGGCATCCTCTTGCTGATCCCTCGTGAAGCCCCGGCAGGATCGGCTGATTTAGGAGGACAGCGAGGGCAACTGGGGGGTATCATCATCATCATCAAGCCTCATCACCCGCACGGCTGTTAGCGTTGGAAGAGCAGTCGCATGCCGAAACCATCTGGACATTCTTCACTTTATACCGTGTCGACTCTGGGGTCGCATTGATTTTTTGTGCGAGAAGATTGAAGAAAGAGAGGGGAGAGAGAGGGGGGGGGGAGGACGAATGGATGGAGGGCTCTCACCCAACCCCTCCCAGACCACCAACAGGAATGCGGGAGTGACTTGTTGGTGGTCGACGTGGCTGTCTCCTCTTCCTCTTCCTCCTCCTCCTCCTCCATCCCACACTGTATACTATACTCCCTCTGTACTCGGTTCGGTACCTCTACTCTCCTCTCCTCCCCTCCCCCTCCCTCTCTCCCTCTCTTTCTCTCTCCCCCCCTTCTTCCGCTCCATCCAGC